CCATGGGATTGATTTGCTGCAGTTCAAACAATTTATATGACTCAAAACTTGGCGATTAAAAAGAGTCGCAGAGCTTCTTGCCAGTTCTTGCCCGCTCTACGCCCTTGACTTGCGAACTGGTAGTAAATGTTAATTTAGAATAAGTGTACTTGTTTACCTATATGAATCAAGTTATATTGAGTTTGAGTTATATCTAGGTGAAAAACATCACCCCGTATACTGTGAAATAATCCATTTTGTTAGTGGAAACACCTACAGCAACCTTGGCAATGCATCGTTAAGCCCGATGGAGAGCGGTGTAATTACGAGGTGATTAGCGGTGTTTGCGACCCACATGACATCATTATATAGAATAAACATATATATATACTAGATATTGCCCACGCTTATTCGCATGGAAACATAAACTTTGATACTTGTTGATTGATTAAAATTGTAATTATACTATAGTAGTAGTAATAATGTACTTCATTATACACAATATACAGAATATTTAGGTAAAGTAAAGTGCACTGGCCCCCCACACTAGGATTCCCTGTGTTGTGGGACAGTCTCTTCTTTTTCTCCCAAAAAAAAAATTTTTTTAGATAAAATTTATTTTTTTAATTTGTGGCATTAAAAAATACATACAACCGGTAATTTTTCTCCTACGATCAACCCCTATTGTTTATTTGTTAATTAAAATTGTATGGCTTGAACTCAGGTTTTATAGAGAAAAATTCACAGCAAAACAGTCTCTGGGATAGCATAGCAAAAATGTTTCATGTTGGTATGTACAAAAAATGTAGGGGTGATCTTTAATTCTATTAAGCAAGTAGGTCAGCCTTCTGTTTTTTTAAAGGAAAAACCGGTTTCATTACGATATTTGCCTTTACCATACAAGTTAAATTGGCTCATAGACTGAAAGGGCATTGGTGTACGGGGATCGAATCTGCAACCTTAAGGATGAGAGTCGCACGTGGAAACCAACAGTCTAAAATTTTCAACGTAGGTCAGCCTTCTGTTTTTTATAAGGAAAAACCGATTTCATTACGATATTTGCCTTTACCATACAAGTTAAATTGGCTCATATACTGAAAGGGCATTGGTGTACGGGGATCGAATCTGCAACCTTAAGGATAAGAGTCGCACGTGGAAACCAACAGTCTAAAATTTTCAACAATTATTTCCGCTAACATTTTAATCTTAGATATTTCTGTGTTGTTAGTTGATTAGCATTCTATCTGAAACGTCTTCGATTAGGGTCTAGGTCGAACAAAATCTGACTATGCTACTCAGGGTTCAGACATATAACGTCTAACGAAACATAGTCATAGTATGTCTTCAATGACGTCAGTTAAGGAAAAATACATATGAGTGTTATGTAATAGTAAATCGTATAGTAATTATTATTAAAGATTGTTTTAACCACATGCAATACTCTACATATACTAATATTACTTTGATTATTTCACTGGTTCGAATCGATTTTACGTTGGATAGTCGATTTGTGGAAGGAGGCGAGACAGCTGGATAAGCATTTGCCCAAAATGATGAGATATCAGTTTATCATGAATCTGGATTATGCTGTGATTTTTACAAGTACTACCTAGTCTGCTACGGCTCTCTTTCAATTCGTCACGTTCCATTTAAAAAGCTATTACTTGTTGTTTATAATATATAAACATGTCGCAGCCAACTAGCTTAGTTAGCCGTTCAATTAACAGCCTAGCTTTTTAACTAAACGGCGCCGTCTAACTAGCGGTCTGAAAGATATTCAGCCGCAGCGTTTGTTGCAACATTTAAGAAACTGGCTGGCTAATGCTTATTTGGCAGAAATAAAAAAGATGAAACATATCACATTAAAAAATATTTCTTTTAAAATTAAATTGCTCGAGTCAAATTCACATTATTATTGTCACTACACTCTTTCATTGTACTGGATATTTTTCATGAAACTTTGGAAAACACCATCAACGTTATGGTTTGCCGACGCCATATTAACAGCTTGAGTTTCGTCGCGAGTTTAAGAGTGACAAAAAGTGGAATTAAATTAACAGTCAACAGGCTAGGCAAGTAATGAAACGTCATCGATACAAGTCATTTGCCTAGCTGTTTGATCAACTGGCTGAACATCTTTCAGGTCGCTAGTTAAACGCCTAAGCTGTTAATTGAACGGCTAATTAAGCTAGTTGGCTACGACGTATTATATACCAATGGCACTACAACCTTTTAGGTCTGGGCCTCAGATCTCTTGACTCTTCCGTGATTATTTCAAATAGGCAAAGTGATCAACCTTCTGTGCCTGACACACACCGTCGACATTTTGCGTCACAGGCATACCACGGTTTCACGATATTTTCCGAGATATTAGAGCAAGTGTTAAATGCGCACTTAGAAAGTAAGTCCATTGGTGCACAGCCATCGAACCTACGACCCCACGGATGAGAGTCCCACGTTGAAACCACCAGGCTAACACTGCTCATTTATCATATACCATTGTTAAATAATAAATATCGCAAAACTTTTTTGATTACGTTTATGAAGACAGTAAATAGAAAATTCTACAGCTTCAACAAAATTCTACTTAACTCCACGAAACAAGCGAAAAGATTCAATCATAGTATCTCTTGTACATCATTGGATGGTGGGCATTAGAGGGGGTTAGGAGGGGGTTGGGAGGGGGTGGTAATGTCACAGCGCAGACTGCAAGGCGCGTTCTTCGCCAATAATACTTAAAACGATGACTCATCTTATTTAATGTAGGTTATATTATCTATTGAAAGCATGGGATTATTAATGAAACGCATTTTATTTTATTTATTAAAGATCTCGCTCTGAATCTTGCCGTAAGACATCTTACTGCCCTTGACATTAGACTTGTAATTATTAATCAACCATTAGTGATAATTTAAAAGACTTCACGTGCCAAACAAACCAACCTGTATGGAACATTGGCTTTTAACGAAATTTAATTTGCCCAAAACATATCTGTACAAAGTTTTGAGAATGCTTTAAAAAATATCCCGCCTAGCAACAAATCGTCTATTTATGCACGATATCTGAGGATTTTACAAATACTATTATAGTTATCATTTCAAAATCGTCAAAACACTAGTGGAAAAATAGATCGTGCGATAAATCGTTTTGATATCATAGACAAAAGAAAAAAGTGATAGCTTTTTGTTTTTAATAGTGTGAAGTTTCACAATTCAAGCGTAATTCAATCTTTGAATAAAATTATGTCCCACTTTTATGTAATTACAAGTAATTTGTAATAATAAAATTTGTGATAATACAAATAAACGCGTACTTTTCCAACTTTAGACCCAAATTTATTCTATCTAATCTATTTACATAAAATTCTTGTCACAATTTTCATTCCATACTCCTCCGAAACGGCTCGACCGATTCTTATGAAGTTTTTTATGCATATTCAGTCTGAGAATCGGACAACATTAATTTTTCATCCCCCTAAATGTTAAGGGTGCTCCCACCCCTAAACTATTTTTCTAGACAAAACCTTTTGTTTTTATTTTTTATGATACAGCATACAAAAATTTATACAACTCTTAATTGTCACCCCTCTACGATTAACCCCTATTTTTTTTATGGAAGATAGTTATTTTTATTGAACTAAAAATTTTTCTCCTAGAAATAATATACATGGAAAAATGACCTCTCACAGTAAATAATTAATATCTGGCTGACTGCACTATGCATCTTTCTCATACCTGAATAGGATATGGCACTGATTATCAGGCCTGATCACATGTTGCAAATCCATTCAAAGTTATGTTAGAAGTTTCTCATCTGAATCTACAGGTGACACTTGGCATACATCCAGGTGTTCAAGGTGAATAAATAGGCCTCTAAACAAATAACTATTATTATAATGTAAAATAAAACTTAAACCAAATAAATCATCTTATAATTATGTGTCAGGGGGGCAATTAGCACACAGGTCATTTAAGACTTATAGTTATCTAGAGACTTGCAAGTACATTTATGGCAGTGGTACACTCTTCTATAGTTCTTTTATTTTAAGAAAAGATCATGCGTAACATAAACTGGATAGATTTTTGCTAAATTTAGTATGACCTATATTGACTATAATATTTAGCCTTTATTCCAGAGAATCTGTTCTAGAAAAAAGGTTGCGGTGACAAATTTATTATGTAGATATTTAGCTAAAAAACCTCTAAAATATAAAAACTTTATTTTTTGTAAAATGAGTACTAATTAGTACTCATTTTACAAAAAATAAATTTTTTTTAGGTTCAGCATTGCCTATATAATTTCTTATGAAGTGATTCTTCATACCATAATTCCACTCAGACAAACTCTTTAGTTAGTTAAGTACTTTTGTAATTGAATTCAAAGTACGATGAATTTAAATTTGTACATGAAATCACAAAAAAACTACACAAAAAAGAAATAAATTAAAACATGTAAAAACTTATAATTATTGTTGCACAATTTTTAAAATGGCTCTCAGTATGGCTCTCTCTCTCTATGTTGTTAAGATAATATATATTATCCTAACAACAGGAAGGTAACATCAAAAGTTTCTAAGGTGGGTCTTTAACATATTATCCAGTTATTACACAGAGAACAAAACTATGACAACGAAGGCGTTTTCTTTTACAGTTAATAAAGAAATTGAGTAGTAAGTGTATCAATGTTTTAGTAGTTTTGGCATAGAATAATATTTCCTGAACATTACAGAAAAAATTATTTAAGTTAATTCATCTCATTGACTGCCCAACACAACTATTGAAAAGTAGAAAAAGCCATGATGCTCACAGACATACAATATTTTCTTTTGTCTTGAACATTAAAAAGCCTTAAAAAATGGGTTATACAATTCTTTGTTTCATCCTTCATATTAATTACGTTTACTAATATGTCTCACGTACGCTTTAATTGTTCTAAATTGATTGTGGTAATTACTTTGAGCTGAACAATATGAGAAATCTTATAAGTTTTGACAAACTGCCAATAATAAATAAATAACTTACCATCATGCCAAGGGTTGGCTGGTTCGAAGTATTGAGTGACTAGCTCCTCATCATGAGGAAAAGATACCTTCCTCTTAGGTTTTTCTTCTTTTTTTCTCACAGACTTCATCGTGAACAACAATAGACTTTTCTTCATTTTTTACAGTCGTTTCACAAACACCCGGACATGTAATTTGATCACTAGTAGACATATCTCTTGCTAATCATTCGGTCACATATCATTTGCGATATCATTAGAATAAAATAGCACAAAAATCACATAAAATAACACTAATGTTGACAAAACTCGCATAGATTATTAACCAAACATCCACTCGAGAGGTATTATATTCGATCTCACTGCACATTCCGTGTTTTACAGGCGTTTCGGCAAATTTTAACAATTTTCAATTCTCGTTCAAAATCAAAACATTTTGCACCTTTCATAAATCGTTTACCGCCATATTGGATAAGCGGGACAAAAGGAATATTCTTGTTTTTGAAGTCTAGGGGGCGCCGTAGGTGATGAAATGTAGCCACTATTAAAATAAAAACGATAATCCAAATTGATTTAAATTTTAATCTCTTATTTCATTAATAATACAATTGTGTACAAGTAATTAATTTTTGATTAAATTAACTTGTTTAATTTTATCTGTATCTTAATTCGGTGCAATTATCTAAAACAAAGTTACGCTACTTCACAATAGATGGCACTGATGTGAATTGGAAACCTTAGTAATAACTATAAATAGGTGTCGCTTTTATAATAACACTAAGTAGTTTAAGGATTCATACTAGATGACACTACATTCAAAAAGTTTGCATTCTACATTAATTGTGTTGGTTTAGTTTTTCAATAATACATATAAATCACGACGTTGACAAATCCTTTTTCGTCGCGCACAAAAGTTAAATTTAAAACATTATAATAATTTCACAGTAATACTAATGAAAGTTAAATATTAAAATATGTATCTTCAAAATTTGTTATAAGATTTAAAAAACTCATTGGTAACTAAATGTATTTATTTCAAACTCAACATCACATCATTCAGACAAGGTTATAAAAATATTTTGTAAATTTCACTTACAACTACAGTAAATATATTTTAAACAGTTTAATGGTAAATACATACATTATGTTTCTTTTTCAAAGTAAAAGTCACAACTTTTAATAGACACAAGAAAATATTGTTTATACTATTTCCTCAATATTCACTTTCAGCGCATAACACTAGAAAATAATATCTTTGACTAATTTATATGCATTGAAATTTAATTACATGACACAACTAAAATGAGAACTTAAAAAAATAGAATTAAACACTTAAGTGATGCATCGAATTTCATTTTTATACTTATAATTTTAAAAGGAAAATTTTGTAATAAATAAAAGCAATATTAAATTTCATGAACCCCTCATATTAAAAGTTGTTTATGTTACCTTATACCAAAAATTGCATGAATGCTTTTAAATTATATTGTAGACCAGCCACATAATGTAGACCTATACAAAATTTACATAAAAAAATTATACACCTTCTAGAACTATTTAAATGGCTGCATTTGGTTGCAAAAAGTAAAAAAAAATGGGTAGTTATAATGAGTTAACATTCTATTTTATAATATTTGAGTTTTGTTACATAATGTTGGCTTTTAACCTCATTTAAAAAATTATAACTAAAGTTTTGATAAACACGCAATTTTTTTTATTAACTCATACAGAAATGATAAGTCAAAGTAGCAACATTAGTAAGTAAAAAATTGTCGAAATGACTTGTATCCATGTATGTAATACATTTTTAAAAATCGAACAAAAGTCATTTCAAACAATTTTTTTCAATATTCATTTATGTTGTCTTTGGTACATCCAGTGAAACATGTTCATATTAAGTGCCACTGACATTTCTATACAAAATTTAAAACAGTTTTACTGTTATGCTTTCTGACATATTCCTTACACCATACAGTTTATAACTTTGTTATATTATAAATATATTTTAATGTAAAACTTGTATGTCACGGGCTCTTAAGAGTATATATATTAGGATAATGGCCATCCATTATATATTATTTTTGTACAAAACATGAAAAAATATCCTATATTAAATTCGTTTTTTATAAATTTTTGGTCAATGTGCAAAAAGTCAGATCTTAACATAAACATAAACATACATGATTTTTAGCCAATCTGTAGATTTAAACAATTCTGAAATTGAACCTGCATTATAATTGGCTAACATGTCTTCATCTGCAGTCTCAGGTTCCGATCAGGGAAAACTATCCATTGCTATTTTAAAAAAAACTAAGGTGTTTGAACACTAATGATTAGTGATGATTGAGATTGGACAAATTTGCTTGTATTTAAGATTGACTTACATTGGCACATAATGTATACTATATAAAAAAAAATGTGATGTATTTGTCACTGTGGCTCCTTTTTGATTTTCAAATCTAGAACACCATCTGAAATAAAACAACATTTTAATATAATATTCTCATACATAGATAAATTTCGATATATGAAGATATATTAAATTGCGTAACAAAACGCACTCACACACTAATTCACCCCCACACATTACACATGTCCATACAAACCTATAAATTATTAGTAAATTGTCTTTTTTTAGTACACAATGCTTCGAATACATTTTGTATGAATGTTGCTAAGTTGCAACATATGCATATGCAGAAGAAACAGGTTCGGCAATAGAACACAGCCTTGTGGGACCCCAGCGTTCACGGGTTTAAGGCCGGAACATGCTCCGTCGATGACGACCTTGATGCTCCGATCGGCCAGAAAGCCGGAGATCCGGCCGCTTAATTTCTCAGGAAACCCGTAGGATTCCAGCTTCCAGAGCAGAGCTCTGTGCCACACCCGATCGAAGCCTTTCGCTATGTCCAAACTAGCGCCTCTCCCTTGGAACTCTGCCCATCATGTATACCATGTGTAAGGTATACAAGAAGGTCACCAGCTGAAGGACCACGACGAAAGCCGTACAGATAATCGATAATCAGCTGGTGGCCTCAAGAGCTGGTCATTAATGATGGATTCCATTATTTTGGAGAACAAGCGAGGTTATAGCTATTAACTTACCATTATCCGGCTCACTAAACGTGTAAGCGATGCGTCTTGGTGCCGTTTGCTTCCGACCATGACTCTTTTTCTTTGATAAATTGAGAACACCATCCAAAAACACTGTTTTCGCACAAACTTTTTTAATTTCATCCTCGATATAATCATTTTCTTTATATTTCCATTCTTGCTTTTCTATTATATCTGTCTCCATTTCAATTTTGTAATCAAATTTGTAATTTCGTTCATCCATCGGTCTATCCATTATGTTGTCTTCTGATTTATAATCAATATCTTTCTTTTTATAACTGTCTTTGTAATTCTCATTCGTTCGTATAAAACCAATTTGTTTATCAATTTTACTATTAACATCTGATATGTAATCATTGGTCTTTATTTTGTAAACATTCTCACTTTTGTAATCGGTTTTGGCATCCTTTTCTTTGTAAATGTGGTTGACACTCTGTTGAACTAATTTGTCTATGCGACATTCAAAAATTTGTGCCTTGAGACTTGGATAATTGTCTGATTTGGGAGATTCAATTACGATTTCTGGGTCTAAGTCAGGAACCTTTGCGGTGTCGTCACGTTCTTCTAGGACCTGTAATGTTATAACAAACAATTTAATGTTATTAGCTACTGCTAAATATATAAAAATTAATTGCTGTTCGTTTGTTTCGCTAAAACTCGAGAATGGCTGGACCGATTCGGCTAATTATGATCTTGAAACATTTGTGGAAGTCCAGGGATGGTTTAAACGGTGAGAAACATAAAATGTAAGTAAAGGAAAATACTAAAAACTACAATTTTATTGTGCAATACAAACTGTCCCTAGCTGTGAAACATCTATTGTTACTGTCACTTGGTTGTCAAATATTTATAAGGTGCGTTCCGAAATTTGCCTGTCTCATAGCTGTAGTATGACCAATCTCTTTCGCCCGTTTTGAAAAAGTTTTATTCCTAACAGTTCTATCCATATAAAAAATTCCGAAGACCTAACTTAGATCGTCGAAGTCAATCAAAAGTGCGACGTGCTACCACGTGCACGCACTGACTACCAGCGTGACATATAATGATTCATTCGTATTGATATGGCTAAATTACATTACCTAGTGAACAATAATGAAGTATTTGAATGAAATGAGTTCAGGCACACTAAACAAAACAGCAGCGAGCGCGATACATGAAATTAAGCGATTGCGCAGGCGCAGTGTTCTTGTAAATCTGTAAAGAGCTTAGCATTCCAATACGACTCGAAAATAGATCATTCTGCCAAACAATCCGTAACAATTTGCGAAAGAAAACCAATATTGTATAGCGTAAATACAGCAGTGTTACACATTAAGGTCCTTATCACATTGGCGATTAGCGAGCGATTTGAAAGCGACGCGATTGCGCGGCGTACTTTCCGCGTTTAGTACACTCAGTAGTAAAATGTATTCTGACGAGGAAACACCACTGCTGGCTTTGTTACTTCGAAAACGCAGGAAGCGAAAGCAGATAGAACGACGAATATGGGAGGATCCATTATCAACTTTCGACTGGGAGTGAGCGACTACTATGCGCAGTTCTGTAAACGAGTTAAAAATAATTTAAATAAATTTCGGTCCTACCTGCGAATGGCCATCTTCATTTGAGTTGTTGTGTTTGATACAAAATGACTTACGACATGAGGACACACATCTAAGAAAGTCAGTGTCTCCAGAAGAAAGGCTCGTTATTAGTTTACGGTACGTTGAAATGTACAGTGTGATTCTTGTTAAAGTACACATATGAAAATGGGGGAAACCTATTTTTACCAAGTGTGTTTTGTGTGTGTTGTGTGTTTTGTGGGTGAGTGTGCAAAATGGCGTCCACGCCGCGAAATCGCCGCGACGGCGCAGCGTCGTTGCGTCGCGTTCAAATCGCTCGCTAATCGCCTGTGTGATGAGGCCCTAAGTGTGCTATTGAAAATGTGAAAATGCTTCAATTGGTTCCACCACTAGACCCCATACGCATACATATGATAAGCAAGACAAGGCGCTAAATGACCACATCACAATGACACAATCGTATCCTTACCACGAGTTCCCGGAAGACATTGGCCGCCCATTGTCCTAATTAGGTAAATATGATATAGTGTATACTGTGCTTATGCTATGTGTTAAATTTATATATAAACAAGCTGTATACATATAACTATTACCTCTAATATATGTGTCCTTAAAGCCCCATATCGCGTCCGCAATACCGTCCTTGTAGCGAGTAGCATCCGCCTTTCAGACAACGCGTCATCTCGACATGCCCTTACAGCACGTAACTCGCGTGTTAAACGTCGTAGATTCTCCATACTGCGCCGGCGACTGTTTTGTGATGCTAGCTGTAAAATTAATAAATTCAAAAGTTATATTCGTTGGAAAACCAAACCATTTCTCTTTATAAGGGACCATTCAAGTATAACGTAACGAATTTTTTTTTAAATTTCGGATTTCAGATTCGCTGAAGAAATATTTTTTCCCCATGGATATTTACTCCCTCGCTGTGCCAATCTAGAGCTACCGGAAACATCTCAATTCTTAGATTTGTACGAACCCCTATGTCAATAATGATATGACCAATAATAGGTACTTTAAATGAATTTGGTAAAGGGAAATTTCTTCAAAGATCTGTCTGTGAAAATACAACAATACTGATAACTACTTAGGAAGCGTTCAAGTATTACGTCCCGCAATTTTTGGAGATTATTGACCCCCTCCCCCCATGTAACGCGCCGTAACGTTTATCTGTACCTAATAGTAAAACGTTCCGTGACTCTTTATACCTAAAAGTTACCATGTGGTAAAGTACTGGAAAGTCGAAAATTATATCAACAATAACGCATAATTTAATCCCCGCCCCGCATCGTATCGTTTTACAAAAGGACCCCCCCCCCTTCCCAAAATTCGTTACGTTACTTAAATGCTCCCTAAGGGCATAATGGAAGAGTCTGGAGGAGGCAAACGGACTTAAATTTGTTTTTAATTAAGTGTAAGTAAAAGGCAATTTTTATTTACGCAAGCTAAACAGGACTAACACTACTCAAGTGGAAACAAGTCTTTCTACAAAATAATGGCAAAAGTATTAAAAGCATAACTTGACTTTCATAAAGACATATTATGTAACCATGTCATTTGACACTTCGGTTTGCCACAGACATTTATATTTCTGAGAACATTCCCTGCTCATATTCTCTAGAGTATGTTGTACCAAAGACAATTAATATTAATAGACAAATCATTGCTAAGGGATAGCCGTTACTCTCGTGGTAATTACAAATGTTGAGGATGGATTTCAGACGCTGTATCGAAATAACAAATATTTACTTATAATGTTTGGAAAACCGCCGCGAGATATCGCTTTAAAATCTATCCTACGGCCTGATGCCTACGCCTAGGCGAGGTTGCCAATCTCTGAATAGCGACAACAACATGCAAGTGCGGCAACGCCCCAAATGTAAAAGATGCGACACTTAAGGATTTATTGAATTATTCAAAAGCAAAAGAGACCCAAAAAATTACGTAGGATATTGGTCAATATTAACTTTCATAAAATGGGAATATTATTATCTTTGTTATATCATAACTATAACTAATATTATAACATTACTTGAATACTTTTAGATCTTGAAATAACAATATTATTAGTAAGTAAATTTATACATATTATTGGAATTGCGAGGAAAACTTGATTTGGACAATTTTTTTTCATTCGTTAAATAATATAGTTTTCTGTATTAGCTGTTCTTACTTTTTTAAAGTGTTTATTAGAGTAAAAATACTTATATTTATACATTAATGTAATAAGAATAACGTATGTATAGAGAAGCTGCAGTCTGCACCAAGGATTATTGGTTTGTGGACTCAGTTTCCGCACTAAAGCGGGCCACACACGGACCGCATGTCGCCGCACGGCGATCTGCAGTTTCCATACTAAATTCATATTCGCAATACACGGACCGCTCGAGCAGTTCCTGAGCAGTCGGTCTTGACTGCAACATGCGGTCCGTCTATGGCCCGCTTTAGACTCTCACAGTTTACGCACAAACTAAAAAATATGTCGTATTTATTAAATTTTTGCGTATTAAGCTCATCGCATTGTCTAACCACAGTATTATACAGGGCTAGATCGAATTAAGATAAATGTTTCACGGGACCGAACAGACGCCATGATGCCTAATTTTTTTCTTTTTAAAGTTTATAAAAATTACCAGCATACTATTCGTTAACTAAAAAATAATATTATAAACAAATCACATCAAGCCTATGGTTATACACACCTCTTTTGCTTCTGATTCAAGAATTTGTCTATAAATTTACAAACCAGCACCATTTAGTAGTAAATAGCATGTGATATTGATTATGACTAAACACTACAAATGCTGATTTGCTTTAAATAATTTTTAATATATGTGTTATATTAAAACTTTCATGATTTGGATCCGAAATTTAATATTTATAAAATCTTGGTTACACTCAATTGTTGATGATGTAAAGATGTAAAATAAGTTTAAGTAAAACTTTGCAATAATTAAATCTTGAACTTTAACACCATTACACTATAGGCAGTATTTTCGGAATATTTATTTTATATGAACATTGCTGGAATATTAGTTTAATTGTCTCTGGTTGTATGTAGTTCAATCTTGTTTTTTATGAATTTGGACATATCACACGATGCTAAAAATTTATTGTTACTTTAGATGAAAATTGAAACATTAAAAAAAAAATTTTTACTTTCTAATTCAAAAATAAGGTTAACGAATATACAGAAACGCAACAGCCTTGAAATTTTTCACATTATATGTTTAAGATTTATAGAAAAAAAATAAAGAAAACATTGGCATACCCGGTTCCTTATCCGCCGTCTCAATCCCTTAAGAAACATTAGATCATCATCCTTAAGATTAAGTGATTGCACTTTTTCTGTATATTTGCATGTTGGGAGTCCAGCTACTTCCTCCACTGTCATACTAATACCTCGAGCTGCAATTTATATAAATTATTATGTATCCAGAAGTCCTCAAAGGTTCACAATCATTAAATGCTTTATAGAAAACTTTACTATATTCGCAAGTATATAACAAGGCTTCTGGCTAATACTTAAGATCAAATATGAAATACAATCTTTATATAACAAATGGAGGTATAATGGGTAATAATACTTTTGTTATATAATGGAAAATCTGTTAAAAGGGAAATATTAAGAAAGATGATGCCCAAATAATCTTACTTAAGATGAAATTATTCTATATATTTTATGCCTTCATTTTTCAAAAGCTACAATCAATTTAGATGCTAAATAAAATAAAACACTCCTTTATTAAGTCTTTATAAATAAAATATCAACTTACAAGAATGTCCACTTCACAAAACACAGATTTAAAAAAAAAATTAAATAAATATTTATATATTTATGAAATTAAAAGATTACTCATAGATCTTGCAAGACATTGAATAATGACACAATCCAAATAATCTTTTTAAAATATTATATGTTCAAAATACAAATATTTACTTGACATCCACAGAAATTGCAAATCAGTAACTGAATCTAATTTATAAACAAGCTAAATAGAAATTACGTATATTACATACTGAAATGAATAATACATCAAATTAAAACTAAAGCGAATACTTTTTGCGTCACAACCTGTTGCTTCTAAGAACTTAGTTTCAAATTACATTTTTCATATAGACCTCTTACCATCTAGTATTTCTTGATCATGTTGATATGAGGATGCGTTTTTCGAGTTATCATCCATTCTTCATATTTGTCAGGACAAATAAAGATATTTAAAATTAATAATATAAAAGTTAAAACAAAACTAGGTAATAGCTTCAAACCTAGGTTAAGTATTACACAATTGTCAAAGTCAAATATCAAAACAAACCACAGCTCAATAAAATTTTGATACATATACATAGTATATTATTGGGTCGGTATAAGTTAGTTCAAATATATTAGAAATAAGCAAAAATTTACTTGTACACTGTATCGTTACTAAGTTATATTACAACAAAATATTGTATAACTGTTTTTTTTTTATTTTGACCCAATATAATTATGTCATATATTTCGTATTACAATAATCATTATTTAATATTTTATGAGCCAATTTATTTTGTATTTCATAATTATGATTTTGTTTATGGTTTATTGATTGAATTATCTTGATAGTCAACTTCAACTTTCAATAATGACACACTCAATTTTCAAACTCAAATTTTATGCTAACTGCCATTATTTTTTTTCAATTATTATTACAATTTACATGTTTTTTGCTGTTGATCGTGCGGTTGGTTGTTTGCCGGCGATATTCTTTTGTTTTTTTTATCGAGCACATTGGTGAGAATCCTTAATATGCATAATATTTATCATTGATATCTTTTAAATAGTTGCTTTACAGTGAAAACAGTACTTTTAAAGTATGTTTTAATAATACACTTATGATTATTTTACCACGTGAAATTTATAATAAGCAATGAAATTATAAACCGGTTTGAGCGATTTTTCAAAGCTTTAAAATAATTAATACTGTGCACTATTACATATTATACTCTAGGGTTCGTTTCATCGACCTTAAAAAATTAAAACCACAAGATTTTTCAGCTTGTATTTCTTGTTCATAAACGAAAATAAATGATTATGAATTAATCTTAAGTTATGTTTTTAAATGAAAGATAATTTAATAAACCCGACTCATTGAAAAACAATTGTTATTCATACATGTAGGTATTGACCACAGACCCCAAAGATCTGTAGAATCTTACTTTCCCCTCCGGCTTCATTCATACTGATGATATTTAACATAAATGCTTATCAGTGATGGGTGCTTTTGGCCAATCGTACTACTTTACAATTATTGTATGTGCTAGATATGGCAACCTGGAGCCGTGGACTTAAAGATTGGGACCCAATGGGAGATGACTATAATGATTCTATGTATGACCCTCAGTACCCAGATGAAAACATAGAGTAAGTCCTGCTTTCCGTCTAGATTGCTTAAATTTTTTTTTTTATTACAGTCGATGTTATATTCTCAATATTATATTATAAAGAAATATTCTTCTTTCAGTTCTGGTGTTCAGCTTGACCATAGCAAACTTTATGTAACAAATATACCTCAAACTTTAAGTGAAGAAGGCTTGAAATTTGCCTTCACAAAATATGGAAATGTCATCAAAATACACATGTCTAGAGATCCAAAGAAACGATATGCTTTCGTTTTTTATGAATCACCAAGGTACTTGTCTGATTAAAGATGTTTGAGTGATGTAGTTTGTTCAAATATTACCTATATTAGTTATTATAATCCACAATATGTGTATTATGTAATTTTATTATATGAAAGGGAAAGAAATCATTGAATGTGCTTTACAAGATATTGCCTTATAAGTTATTACCTGAACAGTTTAGCCAATCTAAACTGTTTTTTAAAAGATCTTTCATATTATTATTTTTTTCAGTGAAGCAAAGCTGGCTTTGATGAAACTTAACAAATCTGAACCATTAAAACTCAATATTGCTGTTGCTCATAAAGTAAGTGTTTTTTTACATGTAGAAAATAGTGAAAACATATCCTTGAACAGATTCAGATGTTTTACATATTATTTTTTGGCTTTAAAAATTAAATAGTGGTGGTTCAGAGGTATTAAATTTTTTTCAAACGGAGTGCGTGTGAAATGGACATATTTATAATTTATTTATACATGCTTTAACTTAGCCATCCTAGTAAAAAAACACCTCAAGTTATCAACTTAGAAATGCCTGGTTTATAGAAATAACACTCTTAAAAATACTTTTATCCAATTTGCCTGTATCTGATAGTTTAATAACACAAGTCAAAATATGTAGTATAATACATAATAATAAAAAGATCTCCAAGGTGGACATATGGATTATAATTTCTCCCACAAATTTTCATTGCTATTGTAAAATTACCCAATTATTTTTATATACACACTATATTTTCAAACACCCCAAAACCAAAAATAACTGATACATATAATATATAGATGTCAAACAATCATAGAAACATTATATTACTAAACAAATTGTTTATAACAGAAAACATATGACCAGCCAGCCAAGGCACGCAGTGCCCATCCTAGTGCTTCATATAGCAACAATTATAGAGATGAGTCAAGCAGTTTAAGCAGCAAAGGAATCCCGTGAGTACTTAATATTAAAAGAGCAGGTGACCTGCCGGTAGATTGGCTTCTGCAGTCACAATCTTACTTTTTATTTTAGCATAACTATAGCCAAGTGTCTTTTTAGGTAAAGAAAATTATTAAGGTAAAATTTGTGTAACTGACATGTAGTTTTGCTTATACAAAAAGGCATTATAAATTTATAATATAAGTATTGTAATAATATCCTATCCTGCAACAATAGCTTACTATATAAGGACCTATTTCCCATCTCTCTAGCTAAAGCTGTGATTGTTGTGGTTTATAATGTTAAAAATGTTTTATATCATAATTATTATGTTTACTTCAATTTACTTTCTATGTGTTCTTGCATCACTTTTGGTATGTTTCTGGAAGACCGAAGAGATCACTTATTAGTGATAAGTCCTTCTATTGCCTGCAATCTTTAATTTTATTTAATGTTATACATCTATTGGTTATTAGTGTCCAATAAAATAAACATCATTTAGACATTTTGAAAGTAAATATTAGTTTGGCTCATTTGACTTTAACTCAGCACATTACTTATTTTTTCACACAGTCATTACACTTTTTTTACACAGTTAGACTGTGTTCACACGGCATTGCCCTGCACATTTTCTTTGTATTCGTTTTTAACGTACTTTCACCCGGGTGTTCACATGGTAGATTTTTTTTTGACGGACAGAGCTATATTATGTGCCACTTTAAACCGAATTTACGTTAAAGTTCATTCGATTTGCTTGACAAGTCCGTTGAGTATTCGTTTGAACGTATAAACGGTGTACGATATTTTGCAGTACAAACGCCGTGTGAATGGGTCTATGTACAATACATGTGCCACTATTTATTCATTAAGACGTATACTGCGAAAAAACGTGCAGGAAAATGATGTGTGTACCTGGCTTTATCTGTTACAATAAGTATTTTATGTATAATATTTGTCAATTCCAAAATAAAAAACTCGCGAAACAGAATGGCTAGTATGGTAATCTGCTCTGTGATTTAATTTACCATTATTATAGTCAATAGTCATATTGAGTAATACAAATTATATTCATTTTGGAGGTAAACCTTAAAACTTCTAGAAAATATTTACTTCAATTATTCAATATGTCATGTATATGCGAGAATCGGTGGAAAATTTAAATAATTAAAAAAACTTTAAATTTTCTGTTTCATTTCAAAAAGTTTCCAAGAAAAATCCTACAAATTAATAATTCAGTAAATGGGGTAGGTACTACGACTTGTGACTAGTCACTAGTGAGTTAGTGACTATTGACTATTGAGTATTGTCAAAACTTAAATTTGCAAGGCGCTAACGGAAAAGTGAAAATATACATAATGCTGTTTCTTTTTAAATTGAAAATTCATTATTTAAAAGTTCGTATGATATACTAAAATATTTCATAAGTGATTGGGTTTGTTTTAAATCTGTACAATTGATTGTGTTATATATATACTTGCAAAGTTATATGGTCAGGATTTCCAATATAAAAGCGTTCGCGGGGTAATATTGTTACGTTATTAGGTATAATAAAAACATTTATCCCAGTGTTTTAATGTTTTAACTTTTAACAATGATTAATAGGATTTCAGTGGTCAATGCAAACAAGGAATTCGTTGCCAAACGCAAATATTTTGTTATTGTGTTAACGTGATTATGACTAATTTCTTTTAATTGTTCATACTTTTGCACTATTAGAATTTGTTAGCAAATAACAATAAGCAAAATATTTCATATTGCAATAATTAAAGCTTTGAATACTCATGATGTGAATAATATGCAACTTAATTATTCTGACAATATTTGGAGAAGTTCTATTAATTTTGTGGCTTAACATCATACATAATATCAAATAGATATTTATTTAAAACGGAAATGAAACTTATAGGTTAAGTTATAAGTAATATACAATCAAAGATTTTGTTGGACACATTAAATTCATACTAAATTAAGGTTATTTAGATTTGCTTTGTGGTCATTTTATATAGAAATTTCTACATTTAAAATAAATCTAACCCATCCAAAACTGTTTTGATTGTCACTTAATGTTGTATTCAATCATCTGGAGCAATTAAGAAATTTTTTTCCGTAAATTGTTTTCAAAAAGATTTTTCCAATGGTTGTAATATTGTTTCAGAAATACAGATTCACACATTGAAATGGAAAATATGGAAAACACTGAAGATGATGAGGTTTGTATGTTACTAATCACTCCGTAGCAAACTGTCTGCTGAGCTGCATAAGCTTTAAATCCTAACCAAAAGCAATTATTATTTTACCAGTTCTTATCACCGTTGAACCTGAAAATCACCAGGTTAACAAATGTATCATTTATGATTTGAGTGAGGGTGGTAACATTCCTGTAGATGTTAATATAATTAATACAGTAAGCAATTGAAGTTAAGCCAGTTACCCAAAAGAATATCAAACAACAAATTAATAATTTATTCAATAATGCTTCTTAGTCTCGCTTTGGGAAAGACGTTTTACTATGGTATCCCATTTGTTTTACTTACCATTGATTAGCATTAGCGCCCCAACATATATCAAAAATAAAACCATACTCACATTTTGCAGAGTTTATCGGGGGTGATGAACCCTGACCTGAACATAGAATTCACCAAGTTGCAATTGCGTGAGTTGGAGGTTCAACGTCGGGAAATACAGTTTCAGAAGAAGTTATTGCTACTCAACTGTGGGAAGAAAGAGGTGTGTTTGTTTTTCAAATGACTTTAATTGTGTTTTAGCAGACATACATCTGTCTTTTACAGCAGGCTCTGATTTGACAACAAACTTAACACTAAATGTAATCACATTAAAAAGTATAAAATTTATAAAGAATCTATTAAGATTTAAAGGCCATATGTTGCTTGCAATTAGTTGGTATTATTAAATCAAACCTCTTTTTTTTCCAGACAAATATTCATGCAAATAGAACTATCACAGCTGACGGAAAGATCATTTTTAAAAATACCATTGACAGGTACGAATTCAGTAATGGTCATTATTTTTTTAAATTATATTACTTTTACCTTTATCCCGGTCGATCTAAATGTAAAATTATTGTGTAAAAAGAGGCACAATCAAACATCTCCAGCGAATTTGTTAAATAGTTTATAGTAAATATTACCTTTATTTGTATTTTATTTTATTGAAAAGGCTAATTTAGGCAATTGAAATTTTACTATATTTTCAAACAATCGCATACTTGTTATTTTAATGTTTTAAAAGCTACAGAAACTAACTTCAATAAAGGACATTTTATGTTTAATAAAAGTCCATATCATAATTATCCAATAGTTTAATGAGCTTGTTTGCAATACATGCTATATACGGAAAACTAACCTACAGTCTACTAACTACCGTAATCAATAATGAAGAGTGTTGCTTATCTACATCTCTATATCTTATATATAAAATTCTCGTGTCACAATGTTAGTTACCATACTCCTCCGAAACGGCTTGACCGATTTTTATCAAATTTTATATGTATATTCAGTATGTCTGAGAATCGGCTACTATCTATTTTTCATACCCCTAAGTGGTAGGGGTGGCCACCCCAAAATATATTTTTTTATTTTTTGGACAATTTATTTTGTTTTTTTTTATATACAAAAATACATACAACCCCTAATTTTCACCCCTCTTCTATCAACCCCTATTTGTATTATATTAGATAGTTATTTTATAGAACTAAAAAAATGTTTCCTAAAAATTATATACATGGCAAAACGACGTTTACCGGGTCAGCTAATATATACATAAAATTCTCGTGTCACAATGTTCATTGCCATACTCCTCCGAAATGGCTGAACCGATTCTTATGAAACTTTTTATGCATATTCAGTAAGTCTGAGAATCAGCTACTATCTATATTTCAAACCCCTAAGTGATAAGGGGTTTTTACCCCAAATTTTTTTTATTATACAGCATACAAAAATACATACAACCCTTAATTTCCATCTACCCTCTACGATCAACCCCTATTTTTTATTTGTTAGTTAAGAACTTATAACTTGAACTGCGAGGTTGGTAGCATAGCAAAATGTTCCATGTTGGTAAGGAGAAACGAAGTTCGCAGGGGCAGCTAGTATTCTATAATAGAATTACAAATACAAACATAATAGGCTTTAAAGATGAAGGTTGATAAATATATAATGATATGTTTGGCCCTACCGCGGTTATTCATTTTAATATCTTAAATTTAATGTATTTTATTTGTAAACCGTACCTAGGATTCAAACTGGGTATGTTGGTATAAATTTTTAATTTATAACAATTTTATAGTTATTATTATTGTTAATATCATATCTTAAGACATTATAATTATTACAGACCGGATCCCGCCGTAGACGCAACGTTTTCAGGTGCAGGTGATTCGGTAAGTTTAATTTTTTAGAACTATTATTACTAGCGTTGATATGATACTTCATAGGTTTGGTGGAGTATGCATGGGCTATTTGATATATATTTATATTTTTCGAAAAACTGAAATGCTTAGATAAATGCAAAACAAGCAATACAAGTACGCCTGCAACATGCCAGTGTTTTAGTGACAAGTGCTTAGTTGCAGTAGACTCCGAGTTTAGGTTAACTTGTTTGACTTTCCTCTTGTACTATTATATTTTCTGCGGGGTATGACTTAATGGTTCGTGGACTCAGTTCCCGCACTTAGACTTTCATTAGGTCCGTTGTAGCAAGCATAACATATAGGTATGACTTAATAAACGACATCATATATGAGCTTAAGTTTTACGTTTTGGTGCAACTGCATGGGTTCATTAGCTTTTATATTAATATGAGTCAAAAAGAGCTCTAAAGAATGTAGAATAATTATTCTACAGAAAGATGCGTGCTCCTGCCAAACTAAGACGTGGAACGAACAGGCAACGTCAGAAGACAGTTCTACTCCGTCCACTTGTGTTGTCTATTCCGAAGACAGGAGTGTTCGTGAGCGTAAAGCTAAGTCAGACATGACTAACTTCGATAAGTCAGACATAAGCGATAAAATAGTCAAATCAGTAGATTTCATCAATAAAACCGATCGGCCCAAAAGTAGATGTACGGAAATTAGCAAAGTCAGTAGAAAATCAGATTACAGTAGATTTACAGCGAAGTCTGATGTGACTAGTAAGAAAGAAGTATGCAAGAATGTGGCAAAAAAAAGCGAGATATCGTGTGACTTGAAATTTGACTGTGATGATGAAAATGAAGATGAGACAAATAGAATGATACAGTTACGCAACGCTGATTATATGGATATTGTTGGTGAACACCTTAAGATTGTTATAGCGCTAGCTGGCTACCCTAAATCTAAAATGCGCTTAAAGCAAATGGAGATCTTCCAACGGTCTATAAACGATATTATGGATATGCAATTAAAACAAGGACTTATGAAGAAAACCCCATTATTCTTAGACTATTACCTGAATAGGGGGGCTATTGTATGTATTTGTAAGGATGTAGAGACTAGAGATTGGATGATAAGAGTTTCACCTGGCTTGCAGGAGCGCATGTCTAATAACTTACTGTTACTTAAAGCGAAAGTGAAAAGGTTGTGTGTTGCTGTCATGAAAATTCCACAAAACTGTTGGCCTTCCAGTGCGCAGGATGTCTTTAAACTTTTACAATATTTTAACCCTACCCTACTCACCGACCAATGGAAAATATATGCACAGAAAGTAGTCAACAACGTCGAATGCACGTCGTTTTTAATCGATAGAATATCTGGGGAAATTATTCGAGGTCCAACATTCAGAAACATCATAGATTATTCACAGATGGACTTTGAATTAACCGGTTTTACAGAAATATATTATGATTGCTTTTTATCTGACATGGAAGAGGATTTACACAGTGTTGCATCCAGGGTCAAATTACTTGAAGTTATACGATCCACCGATACCACGCCAAGAAGAGAGAAATACCAATCAGAGAAATCTTTTAAAAGTATTACGAACGATTTAAAAGAAGACGATAATGAAATGTCTGCACAAGAAGTTGCAGACGCTATGTACAACGAAAGAGTTGATTCTGCTATTGATATGGAAGCAGAAGACGTTGAATTAAGTGAACCAAAACAGGGCATAGTAAACGAACAACCAAAAACTAAGGAAAAGAAATTGAAAGGAATTGAAGAACCTTGGTGTATTCAAACGAATTGTGAAGAGGCACAATCCAAATCACAAGAGGCAACTATTAATAACTACGAACTATCAACACCTGCCTTGTCTGATAAATCGGAATCTGTATTCGCCAGTAGTGACAACTTAGTTCTTAGTAGAAGTAGTAATTTGAACATAGATAGTAATCGTGGCATAGCATATCATAGACGCACTAATTATTTACACATAGAAAATGAATTGAAAATAGCAATAACATTACAAGGATACCCTCAAGAAAAGTTGGAAGGAAATCATATAAGAAGGTTCAAGCATTTGTTAAAGGAGTACATACACAAAGATATGAAAGTACACCGTTTTGATAACATGATCATTCCCAAGTTCCAAGACGTGTATTTGTCGAATGGAGCGGTGATATATGTTTGTGATAGTTTAGAAACTAAGGATTATTTAAGTGAAGTTCTCCCTAAATTTGTTAACTCTACTGGTCTGAAGCTTATCTTTAGAGAAGTTCAAAACCTTTTAAGATACACTAGATTGGTGATGCGTTTATCTAAGGAATTAGCTCACGTGGAATCTTTAGAAATTCTCCGACACCTACAAAGTAGATATCCTAAACTGAAACCGGAATGTTGGAAGTACTACTCGGATGTAGCAGGAAAACAAAAAAGACAGTTCGGTGTCGACCCCGAATCTCTGGAGATCATAAAAAGTCCCGATTTTGACCCTACATACGAAGGAGAAACTCTGGTTTTCAGAATCATCGATAGACAGAAAAAAGAAAAAATTGATAATATAACAGAACCAGTAACTTGTACAGAAGATAAAGAAAAGAAAAAATTGAGGGAAACCATTACTCAAAACATGTATTGCCCTATTCATGTTGCGAATTCTTCTTTAACACGTATAAGAGCGAATCATTATTCGGATTTAGTTCCTGATGATTTAAAATTGTATGTCGGACCATCTAACTACCCAGAAACGCGAATCGATGAATCTGTATTTCAAACAATTAAGCGAAGCTTCGAAGAAATTTTAGTCAGCAAAGGAGAAGTAGATTTTGACTTTCCCAAAATTCACGACATGTATCTCTTCGATGGTGTCATTTTTATTATTTGTAAAAATCTCTCATCACGATATTGGATAGTCGAATCTCTGTCTCAAGTGAATCGAAATGGGAATATTAATTTGAAAGCAACTGAGTTCCGTGGTGCAGTTGGCATTGTTAGTTTATACCTTGACGCAGGCAAAGATCCCGACTACGTAGTATCTACTTTACAAAAACAAAACCCAAGATTGCGTACTAAATATTGGCGTAAAATTAATACTGTCAGAACAAAGAGTAAACTGGACATTGTATTACAAATCGACAAACTCTCGGCTCAAGTTATAATGAACAAGGGGTTTAATGGTAATATCGATAATAACGAAGTAACATTCAAATTGGGACATTTAAAATCTCTTATCAATCGAAAACTTTGTCTCGATGTTCCAAAATCGCCTAGCAATAAATCAGTTGTTAGCAAAAAAAGTGTTTCGCAAGGCGGCAGCCGAAGCCCAGAATTACATGTTGATCAACCAGAATTGAACCAACCGATTGACCGGCTCAAAACTCAGGAATCTGAAGTGTTTTTTTCCGCCCACGTTGATATTAAATCCGATTCTGATAAATCAATTTACTCAGTACCAAAAGCTAGTAAACATAGTTACTGTAAATTGAATTTGCGAGTGCCATCAGCTATTCTACCGGATCATAAGGATGGCTTAGAAATGATTTTCGACTTGTTACAAGATAAAAACCCTGGTTTAAACACGGAGTTATGGAAAGTTCAGTCTCGGTACGGTCGGGGTGCTTTCAAACTCATGATTGATAAACAATCAGCGTCGGTAATTCAAAGTAAAGAATTTGATCCGACTGTAGGTGGGGAGAAACTTAAGTTTTCTCTTTAGTGATGAGACAAGTAATGTTTGCAAGGTACGTAGCATTGAATTAGACCTTATTTATTCGAAGGAATTTTGTAAGCATTCAGTAGTCGTGCTAAGGTAACTCATGTTATTGAATGATAGTTGTTTCGCTCATTATAAAAGTTCATTTCATTTAGCGAAGCAATGTTGGAATTTGACAATTTTAGTTTTTAATCGACAGGAAGCCTCTGTTATGGTAATCTGGCGTTAATCACCTTAATTAAATAAAACCTTGTCATGCTATCGACTTTATGCTTATTTATTTTCTAATGTCAAAAATATTGTCTTTTTTTGGCTCGATTTAACTTTTAAGGTCTTTGCATTTTTTTATATTATACATAAGTTTTGTGTTAGGTATTTTAGTTACATAATTCTTATGTTATTGTGATTCTTTTATTAATTTTGCATGTTAGTTATTTTTAATTAAATAATGTGTTTTATAATTTCGTTTTATTTTTGCTGTTTACATTTTCCTCATTAGGGAGCGTTCAAGTATTACGTAACGAATTTTGGTGAGACTTTTGGAAAACGTTACGATACGGGGCGGGGATTGAATTACGCGTTATTGTACATATTATTTTCGACTTTCTAGTACTTTACACCACATAATGGTAACTTTTAGGTATAAAAAGTCACTAGGTGGTCACGAAACGTTTTACTATACTTGGGTACCTACAGAAAAACGTTACGGCGCGTTACACTGGGGGTTCAATAATCTCCAAAAATTGCGTGACGTATACTTGAACGCTCCCTTACAGGTCACCACTATTCTAGATTAATTTGATTATTGATAAATCACAATTACCCCACAACATAGGTTTATTTTAATTCGTATTTAAAGTCAAAATGTCTTGAGCGCTGTCAAATATGTGAAACTGTTGAAACTAGATTTAGGCTTGACATTCTAGAATCTCGGGCTATAGTTACTTTGTGAAGTTATTTATTTAAAAATACTTGATCATGAGTCCATGTGATCCCTGTATAGGAATGTCATAAAGGTCGTATCGAACTCCGTAAATTCCAAGTTGAGGTAAAAAATTTGGTATTCTTAATGGTAATTAAATACCCAATTTGGTTCTTATCTATCGTTAAGAATACCCTGTTGCAATATATCATTTTTCATCAACTAATAGAAGACAAGATTATGGTTTAGATTATTCATAATATATAGATGGAATTTAGATTGTATTAGAAGTTGTATCGTAACGTTCCATTATTAGGGTCCTTCAAGAAAAGAGCGTACCAATTCTTAAAAGGCCGGCAACGCACTCGCGAGCCATCTGGCATTGAGTGTCCATGGGCGGCGGTATCACTTAACATCAGGCGAGTCTCCTGCCCGTTTGCCCCCTGTTCTATAAAAAAAACTATTTACACTTACAAACTGCAAAAATTAACATTTGAATTCTTGTTTCTCGTGTCATAGTCTTTAATCAAGCTCTGCCTAAAAGTTAACATAAAACGTTGTTTTTAATTTAATTAGTGACTAATGCTAGTTATATTCACCACGGTGTATGTTTTCTAAGTTTTCTCAAAAGCTCTGTTTGGTAATACATTGTATAATATAATGAAACTAATTAATAATTCATTGTTTCCTTGGAAATACTCAATCGCAAACAATATATTTTTTAAGTATAAGGCTATGTCACGTTCAGATATTGCATAACCGTTGCTACCTCCATAGAAATTATTTTAAAAGTATTGTGTCACTTGCCCTAAATTTCTCATCCCAACCAAATCCACTTCAACCTAAATAAACTTTACCCATCAACACGTTGGACACAGCTTAAAGTTCCCGGACTACAGCGCGCGAGCCAACCCTTCTGCCTTGCATGTGGCGGACGCGGAGAGCTGTTTTGCGCTGCGTGCGGGGTAGCGCCGTATTGCAGCCCTAAATGCCAGAAATCTGATTGGGTCAAGCGGCATAGGGCGGTCTGCCATAATTTGGCCAGGTTAGTAGTTGTAATAAATTTATTATCCAGTTCTGCTTGTTGTTCCCACGGGAATGTGTGCTCCTATTTCACCATGCCTCCTGCTGATAGAGGACAAATCTTTGTTTTTAATTAATTTTATTATTATTAATTACTTAAGAAGTCGTGTGGAACATGGTGTAATGGTTGCAGCTCCTTACAAACGTTGTGTAAAACAAAAAACTTGGCGATTAAAAAGAGTGACGGAGAGTTTATTGCCAGTTCTTCTCTTCCGTTTTACGCCCTTGATTTGAGAACTGACAGTACTGTAAAATTAGAAGCATTTCATATGTATTTGTTTTTTGACGTTCATAAGTGTACAATGGGCGTGTTCGGCCGAAGTAAGTACTTACTAAACTTAGTAAGCCAGTAAGCATAAAAAAATTAAAGTCTTACAAGCTGACTGTAGCGCTTTTCGGCCAGGACAGACTTACTGGCTTATTAACATAACACAAAACACCGGTTTATGTCATATCCCGTACATAACCTCATAGACTGAATATAATTGACAGTACTAAATTTAGGAATATAATTTAATACCTGTGAATAGTTTCAAATGGATAATTTTATGAGAAATATTTTATTGGATATTTTATTGTCCGTTTTGTTTACATCAACAATAAGCAAAATGGCGTCGTATATTAAGCCATACTTACTGCGTTAGCACTTATTTTGTGTCCCGGCCGAAAATTTTGTAAGCATAGTAAGTGACTTACTAAATTTAGTAAGTACTTACTTCGGCCGAACACGCCCATTGTGTTACTTATATGAATAAAAGATTTTGATTTTTTTTTGAATTTTCGAATGATCAATTCATCTCACTCAGCGAAGCACCGTTAAAGAGGCCATAGTTATTTAACGGTCGTTTTAATTAGGTAGAGCCGTTAGAGGGACTCGACTTGAGAGGCTGGTATAGGGTAATCTTTATATCAGTAATTATGTAGTAAGAACAATAGCAAGTGCGTCACACTACAAAGTGTCGTGTAGAATGCGAGTGTAATTAAATTTTCTTATTATGTTAAAGTACAAAGATTGATTTGATTGTCTTTCAAAATATTAAGTATGGTATACTTTTAAGGTCCATAAGTTCGGTCCGTATTCCAATATTTGACGGCTCATTGGTCTAGCGGTTAGTACCCTTGACTGCGAATCCATGGGTCCCGGGTTCGATCCCCGGCTGAGACAAAACATAGATGTGATGAGCATTTGGTGTTGTGCTTAGGTCTTGGGTGTTTAAATATGTATTTATATGTCTATCTATCTATAATATGTATGTATATCCGTTGCCTAGTACCCATAACACAAGCTTCACCAGCTTAGCATGGGACTAGGTCAATTGGTGTGAATTGTCCAATCAAAAAAAAAAATATTTATCTGAAAACGTACGCCTTGATTGAGAAATATTGTTTGATTTTCTTAATTTAGTTTTAAGTTTAACGTAACACTTAAGTAACAATTTAGTTTTATACAAGAACATGTTTATAAAATTTTCAGGACACCAGACCAGGTGGAGGCGAGTCATAGTGAAAAGGACGAACCAATGCACAGGTATAGGTTGACTTCTCTTATTAATCTTACAGCTTCAAGCCTCATACATTTCTTCAAAGAATAATAAATAAAGTGTATCTAACCTAGCCCTATTCAGATCTTTATTTATTTATGTTTTTTTTTATATTTAAGCAAATTAATTCAAGCAGGATTTGTTAAAATTGTATAATATTTAATAGGTATCATACATATTTGTTTGTTATTTAAAATATTCTTAGCTGTAAAAACATATTCATGATTTAAATCAAGTACATTCAAACTAAAGGAACAGTCCAAATTATACCAAAAATGGTTGAAAATATTATTAATTTGTTAGTTAATTTTTAAATTTTATTTATGAAACTGATATATTTGCGGTTATTTTTTTTAATTAATTGAGTTTATTAAAACAACTTCGACCTTACGGTCTAGCCTTATTAAAGTGACGGAAGTAATAAAATTCTTGAGCATAAGAAAGTGCCCGAAAACACTACTTACAGTCTCGATTAAGCACAAGAACAGATGACGTCTTCTATTTGTTCGACTTTTTAGCACTTAATACCAGTTAATCAGACAGAACCGATTATCATCGGTTCTGTCTGATTAACGAAGCTATCGCTTCGATGATGATTATATATTTAATGAGAGCATTTATTTTCAGTGACTCTAAGGAAATAAAGCGAAACCATCGTTTTTCAAAACACCAGAGACTTCAGACTCAGGCTGACGAGGGCTCGTCTGGTAACACTGATTCTAATAGGAATGATAAACGATTTGAAAGGGTAAGACATTGTATACTAGCTTTAACCGCGTGGTTTTTGTTTGTTCTTCTTCTTAAGTTAAGTTTCTTGCCAGTTTTTCTTGCCCGCTCTACGCCTTTGACTCGCGAACTGGTAGTAAATGTAAATTTAGAATTAATTTAACTTATTTTCTGACGTTCATAAGTGTACTTGTTTACCCATATGAATAAAGTTATGTTGACTTAATAATCGTTATATTATTGTCAATTTACATAAAATCATATAATGGTACTTATTAGGTTTGATCTAGGGATGCATCGATACGCCTTTTTGCCGATACGATACCGATGCCAACGCTTATTTTATTAAAATTAAATTAAGGTTATTACCTTCAAGTTTTGTTCATGTAAAATTAAGGCATTTAATTTTTATTATAAAATATAAACAGTCACAAAAGCAAAATGTATTACGCGGGGACAAAGCGGATGATAGGGGCATAGATAGTATGTGCCTCGTTTGGAATTCACTAGATCAAACAAGATGCGCGCGTACATTACTTTATTAAAGCGCGAAATTTAAAAAGTATCGTTGTATCGGCAAACCCAAAGTATCGCCGGTATCGGTATCAGTATCAGATGCATCCCTAGTTTGATCATTTGCACATGTTATAAATATATGTCGGAGAAATATCGTTACTCTATCGATATTGACATCGTCATTAGCGGGTTTAGTGGGCGTCATGTGGGTAAAGCACAAAAGACATGAATAATCGTACAGTATTTAATTTAGATTGATTCCTTCCAACACTTCTAATAGCACTTTAGCTTAAGTGTATTAGACCCAGCCTCTCAACACCCCAATGCTCCACTGAATACTCAATCAGAACTAATCTGCGTTCCCTGTACGCACTGTCAAAAATCAAGATGGCGTCTGCGCTGACGTTTGCGCTGCTCTGATTGGTCGTAACCATATTCGTAGTTTTATTCATTAAGTAATGATTCCAAACTATGAAACAATTAAATAATAACAAAACCAATCGAATCAAAAGAAATTATGTTTCTTAAAAGTAACAGAAGAAATCTCAATGATTAACCAAAGCGACATTAAAAATCAACGGTCAATTGACTCGAAGATTTCCTGGTAAATATTGTATGTAATTATTTCCAGAAACCTCAAATCAGTACACGCACTTCCGTACCAACCTCAGGTCCCTTACGCCGTCCAAAATGTTTAGATTCAGACAAAATAGAGACACAAACCGACAAACCCGCACCACCAGAGATAAATGATACGGAGAAATTGAATGTAGTAAGAGCCCCAGCCGCAGATAGAAGACCGAATTTCCGGCCCGGAAAAGGAATTGATGATTCGCAGAAATCTATTGGAAATGATGCGCATGGTAAGTCTTGCAACGATTTTTGCTAAGGGTTCACACGAAACTTGGTACTTAGTGATTCCCGTAAAGACACTTTGTTTTTGGTTTGAGAGGCATAGATAGACATACAGCTGCCTACTGAAGTATTTCCGAACCAATTCGAGTCCTTCAAGAAAAAAGCCTATGAATACTTAAAAGGCCGGCAACGCACTCGCGAGCGCTCAGGCTTTGAGAGTGTCATTGGGCAGCGGTATCACTTAACATCAGAATCTTATACCCATTTGCCCCCGGTTATACGTGTGACAACTGTTCAATTTTGTTCATAACAATGTCTCTCAATTTAGTTCCAAATACGACCACCCAGCTCTTCTCAAGTTTTCCATACAAAATATTATTCTTGAGTGTTTGTTTATGACGGTGGTACATTTCTGCAAACTACGTCGCCATGACTTCAATTAATTCTTAATAAATTGAAGTCATTTACGCCGTCCATTTACGCCCGTCTGCTTACGTATTTGATTCGTTACGTAAGCAGATTTACTGCCATTTATTCTTGATGAAAGGATGTAATCATCCAAATATTTAACCAAGGTTCGGAAAGTGGATTAGAAGAAACTAGAGAATTGAGTATTTACGAAATATCTATAAGCATTCCTATTTTTCTAACTATTAAAATTAATTTATAAACGTTATAGGTACGAAAGGGGAAGCTGTTCAAAATGGCGATTTGTCTCAAAAAGTTCAAGGTAATATTTTATAATAAAACTAGCTGACCTGGCAAACGTCGTTTTGCCATGTATATCATTTATAATAAAATTAGGGGTTGTATGTATTTTTTAATGCTGTATCATAAAAAAAATAAAAAAATAATCTAAACATTAAAAAAAAGGGGTGGACTACCCTTAACATTTAGGGGAATGAAAAATAGATATTGTCCGATTCCCAGACATACCCAATATGCACACAAAATTTCATGAGAATCGGTCAAGCCGTTTCGGAGGAGTTTAACCACAAACACCGCGACACGAGAATTTTATATATTAGATTTAAATTTAATCATTTATCGTTGAATAAGATAAAAAGACATTGTCTTAGGGTATTTACAGTAGACTGCGCGAAACAATACTATTTAACAGAGGCGATATACCGAAAGACGAAATTATACTTACGATAATATAATAGTACCTATATCCGTCTTATAAGGCTATTTGATGATAAAAAAAGGTGTGTACTTATGTACACGCGTTAGAAGTTATACTTCTTTGGCGTAAGAAGATAAAAATATTTTCAAACATTTTATTTTACGTTTGTTGAAAAATCGACACTAACAATACAAAAAAGGTATTTAATACATTAAAAGTTTTATTATAACGCATTATCTAGTTAAATAAAGTTTATTTAAATATCACAAAATAAAATGTTGACTATAGCTAACTTCAGGGTGTCGCCTATATGTAACGGTGTGCGCGCGCAGCGTAAATATTTACTCTCATAATTTTTCCCTAACGCGCCAAAAGAAGGAAAACTTCAAAAATAATAGATTATTTATTGGTGTTGGATTTAAAAATAATTTCAAGAACCCTTCAAAACGCTTTTCTGTGGTGTCGCACCAGTCTATGAAATTTTTTAAACAAACGTATTTTTTTTGTTTATAATTAAATTACACATATATTATATTTCTATCAAAAACAGTCTTCGACGGAATTAAACTCCAAGACAGTATTAAGATGAATTAGAGTCTGGCTAATGAAAGAAGATAATTGAATTATTTGAAAACTTTCGGATGCCATCACAGAATGTCATTGAATTTCTTAGGTTAATATAATTTATCGTCTTGTTACTTCATGCAATTACTCATTTTTATTTCTATTATAAATTTTTTCCGAATAGTTAACAAGTATAATAGCCTAAACTTTGTATTATTTAATAGAATATTTCGTTTCTTTCGCAGGATTTGAATTTTCCGAATAAAGTTGTGTTTTATAATAAATATATTTTTAGTTTTCCATGCAATGCTAGTCTATTTAAGTATCAATAGTAAAAGACTAAATACGTATACTATTTAATTTCATAGAAGTACAGTTACTATCAATGTAAAAAATAATAAAATAAAATCAAGTATCAAGTAAGTTTAATCCACAAAATATATCAAACTTTTAGGGATACCATACTATATTTTTTTTGAATTTGCCGCGCTTTTTCGTTATCTTCTTTGATTAGCTAGAAGCAGGCTACGGCATCGTCGATTCGATCTAATCTGTGACCGTTTTGTGTCACGTGACTGATGTATGAAAATCAAAATCAATAGAAATTAATGATCATTTATCATTATCACTATTAGTAATTACTTACCATACGTTCACGCGTTTCAGTAATGGAAGTGAACAACATTTATCCTCTGCTTCACTACTACAACCTACCGCTAGTACATTCGGCAATACAATCTCGAATGCCTACTATCTTCTACAGAGGGTCTGTTAGACCCACAGGTACAAAGCACCTTGTAGATGTCATAAATAGCTGCTATTTTGTTTATCAGCACCTTTTTTATATTATAAAAACAGGGCTTTATTCTTCACTTTCACTTCACTACTAAGAAAGCACCGTATATGTCACAATTCTTTGCTGTTTTATGTTGTTAAGCACTTTTTGGATGTATATAAAAACATTTAAAAAAAATATGTTTCTTTATATGTGTCGCAGCCAACAAGCTTAATAAGCCGATCAATTAACAGCCTAGCCTCTTAACTAAACAGCGCCGTTTAACTAACGACCTAAAAGATATTCAGCCAGTTGATCAAACAGCTGGACAAATGCCTTGCCTAGCCTGTTGACTGTTGATTTAAATTTAGTTCCACTTTCTGCCACTATCAAACTCGAAACGAAACTATTCAAACTGCAACAACTGCGAGATGTATATACTACGAATTTTCAAAACTGTGTATTTTTAGACCATGATAGTGGAAATAAAAAAAAACATTGCTTGAATGCTGTAATATGCCTTTAATATGTTTTAGTTTGCGATTTTTCTTACTGAAATTTGTGGATATTGTTAGAAGTCTTTTTGCCTGTACTTCGATGCTATGTACGTTCAAGCCGAATAAATTAAATAATATTTGTGTAAACGTGCAGCTACGGAAGTTGATGTGCCCCATGTGGTGTGGTCAATGACCTCAGGTGAATGACCGATACCTTAGTACACCACACGCTCCGCTCACGCTAGTTATTTCACGTCTATAATTAAACTTTCTGGGATTATGAATCCCTGGCTTACAAGTGGCAGAGTTATTTGTCTATTAATCTCAAGTGATCGGGTTTTTTAACCCAGAACAGTGATATTGAATACTTTTTTTGACCGGCGCTAAGCCGTCATGGCATCGCTCTGCTATATAAGGATGTTTTAAAAATAGAAAGGATACTTAACTTAAGGGCGTGACCAAACAGGTGCGCGGCAGCAACATGCGGCATTCGTAGGATACCACAACGAATGCTCAATGCGAGTTAGGGATGCCCGATGAACATCGATGTTGAAAGCAAAAACATCCATGTTGCTATACGAAAAATATAGTAACATCAATGTTAGCTCACGACCTCGGCACGACCAATGCAAGTTACGAAAAAATATAATCTCTTCTATGAACGCATCGTTTCGTTCGGTCGTTCATTTCGTTGAAGAATCGACGAAGAATCGTAGTCTCGCTCGCTCTTTCTGTCTCACACTTCCTACTCTTTCTTAACAAAGAAATAGATTAAAAGGGTCTTTATTTGATATTGATGTCAATATCAATGTTTTTCTAATATCGATCATCCCTATTGCGAACGCACCTGCACACAATAAAGCGCGCGGCACTTGGACAAACTGAGAGCGCTATATTTGGTCACGCCTTAAGACGTATTTGGTTAGTAGTCATTAATACTAATAATTTACAGGTCCAAGAGCAAAGCCTAGCGCTCAAAACTCCATTCAACCGCCAAAGGAACATAAGGAGAAGACTCAAACGGCGCCTGTTGTTATTCCGAAAATTGAGATATTGCCAAAGATGTAAGTTGATTGATTAAACGATAAATGTTTGATAGTGCAATGCAATAGTATACAATTTAAACTATAGACAAATTAAATACTATTATTATTATTATTAAAGCTTTATTAATTAATCCATACAACAATTGGTTAGTTTACATTCCTTAATATTAGTCGAGTCAAAAGTCAAAAATCATTTATATTCATGTAGGTAACACAATGTACAGTTATGAACGTCTAAAAAGAAATATATATGAAATGCTTCTTTTTCACCTATTTCACCATGCCTCCTGCTGATAGAGGACAAATCTTTGTTTTTAATTTATTTTTTTAGTATTAATTAATTAAGATGTCACGTGGAACATGGTGTAATGGTTGCAACTCATGGCAACAACACAAAAAAAAACATGGCGAATAAAAAGAGTTGCGGAGAGTTTATTGCCAGTTCTTCTCGTCCGTTCTACGCCCTTGATTTGAGAACTGGCAGTAAATGTAAAATTAGAAGCATTTCGCATTTAATATGTATTTCTTTATTGACATTCGTAAGTGTACATTATGTTACCTAAATAAATAAATTATTTTTAATTTTCTGTTGGACATAATATGTACATAAAATTATATTTATTTTATTAATACGCCATCTTTTATAGGTACATTGTAGCCACATTCGAAGTGGGAGACACGTTCGTTCTGTCGGCGGAGGCTGATGCCAAGGACTGTCTTTCGAAGCAGAAGGGCTTCATCTGCATCGCTCTTAACATTAGTTGTGAAGACAAGTACAATTTACTTTGCACTGACTACTGTGCGTCGTGTGACGCTGAACCCGATACGTATACGTAAGTCGTTTGTACAATTAAATGTATGTTAGTAGTCATATATATATATATATTGATTGTTGATTTTTAAATCCGTAGTAATCTGACATTTCATAAGTGTTGCTACTAAAAAAGTTCTCCACCGAAACATGGACAAATTTGACATATTTGAGGGCCATAAAGGGCTTTAGCTGGCAACACTACCTACTAATTCCAGGTTTAGTAAACTAATTAATAGAATTCACAGCTTAGATTTTATTTCTTGTTATTCTAATATCCTTACTTCCTTCTGTACCATGGATCGAATCTACACTTGTAAAGGCCTCCAGCTTTTTCAAATATCTCTGTCCATGGCATTCTCCATTCGCCTCTATTTCTTCTATCTACCTTTTTTGTGGGGTCTTTCCCGCGATATTGCGGCACACAAATCCTGGAGGGACGTTTCGTGTCGTAGACGCACGGGTTCGCCACGCGTGCGTTTACCTAATCAATCAAAATACGTTTATTCAGTTTAAATGCGTCTTAGGGCATGATTATGAATGTCAAAAACGTTTAAAAAATTCGCGAAAGATCAAGACTACGCCATCCGTTCTCAAAACTACCAGGAGGCTTTGTTCTGAGGAGAACGGGCAAGAAACTCGGCAAGTTTTACCCTCCCTCTACATTACAATTATTCAAAGGAAAATGTCATAAACCACAACGTAACATGATGTATACCTATTTTATATAATAATGCTTACTTATAATTTTTTTTATTCATTTTTTTTTTCTTATTTCCTATTTTTACAGTAACTTAATAGTAATACAATAGAAAACTAAATTAAAAACTTAAAACCTAAACCATTTTATAACTAATTATAAATAATGCAATTCCTGTGAATTCAGCCAGTGTGCAACTAAATATATCCGTCCAGCAGACTCAAAGAACACATTGCGGACATAAGACATAGACGACACACAAAATCAGCAGTCTGTGAACACATACTAGATAGGCCTAATCACTACATACGCTTTGACCAACCGAAAGTACTTGCGAAAGAGAAAAGATTCTTCCCAAGATTGGTACGCGAAGCCATTGAAATCAAAAAACACCCCAATTTCAATAGAGAAGACGGCCTAAAATTTTCAAACACCTGGGATCCAATAATATCCAAATTAAAACCTCAAGAAAAACTATCCGCGAAAATAGAGGACACCGTGAGGCATTTTTGCCAAAATCCTCCATCTTTTAGTCGATACCAACTCCGGGGAAATAAATACAGATAATGCAACTTTCTCTACAGCTGTGATACTTTTTGACATTCAACACCTTTTGTCTTCAGTCACCGTGACCACGCACGCTGTAAAGCACGCGAAACGCCGGATAAATTTAAAATTATGTTAAATAATTGTAAATTTATAATAATACATAACTTTAATCCGGTAAAAAGTTTTTTCTTTAAATGTGTAAAGGTTATGTCAATAAAAGACAATACTATAAATATATCCGTCTCACTAGCAATAGTGTTTAGGATGCGCAAAACACGCGTAAATGGTGCTTCTCTGAGTAAGTTCGTCCGCGCCCGAGGCACTGCCAGCAATTGCGACCTCTTACCACGCCGAGTGGTATTATATATTTTACCTCTAAGGATCTTAAAAAGATATAACGTGATAGTAAGGTCCCAAATAATCACCATTATTAGTAATTTAAATAATGTTTCAGACCAAAACCAGGCGACTTGTTCTCATTCAACAACCGAGAGGGCGGAGACAGTTGGTTCAGAGCTCGGTGTTTAAACTCAACGTCTGCCGCGCTCATCGATGCTTGTCAGATAGCGTCATTTGCAGCTGGTATTTGCAAGAAGATTCCCAGCAACTATCAAGATATTCCCGAATTCTGCTGTGTGTTGGATGCTGATGTCTCGGTATGTTTCTAGGCGCTTTATTTTAAATTGTTTATTAAATACACAGAAATATTCAACATAAATAATAATTATATAGTTAAGCACGAAAAAGGAGCAGTGTTAGCCTAGTGGCTTCAGCATGCGACTCTCATGCCTGAGATCGTAGGTTCGATCCCCGGCTGTGCAACAATGGACTTTCTTTGTACGCATTTAACATTCGCTCGAACGGTGAAGGAAAATCATCATGAGGAAACCGGCTTGCCATAGACACAAAAAGTCGACGGCGTGTGTCAGGCACAGGAGGCTGATGACAAATGATCATGATACAGATACAGAAATCTGAGGCCCAGACCTAAAAATGGTTGTAGCGCCACTGATTTATTTTATTTTTTATAGTATTAAGTGAATGCAATCAAAATCGTAAAGATTTAAAAAAAAAAGGGTCCGTGTACTTATGTACGCGCGTAAGAAGTTATACTTCTTTGGCAATATTAAAAATAGTTTGGCTTTGTTCCACCTCCAGTTTTTGATGTTTCACAGCGATAAGATGAAAACTCTTTTTTTGTATTCAATTTAGTGCAGTTACACTGATTCATCAATTGTTTTTTGTCTCTTTTCCTTATATTTGCTAGATAAAATCAGAAAAATTACATGTTTTGATTAAACAATGTGGTTAATTTTTTAATCAAAACATTACTCGATAATAATAATAATACATACGGATAGTTAACCTCAATTGTATTGAAGCACTTAGGAAGGTTTATGAGCACAGTTTTTTCACAAATATTAATTAGTATTGGTTTAAATATTCAATTTAAATCACTTCTGATTATAATTCAAAAAGCATCGCTAAATTTCTTTGAAAAAATAATTAAAACTCCTTTATTTGTTTAAAAGGTAAATGACAAATGTCATTATGGTCATTCAAAATTGTTGGCATACGAACTTCACGCATATTCTATTTCTTTTTACTTGTAGATTGTCTTATTCCTATCTCGCTCGCGCACGCTATAATCACACTCCTAATTTTGTGTCACGGGTGCGCGCGCATTGTAAAATTTCACTCTCATAAATTTTTCATAACGCGCCTAAAGAAGTATAACTTCAAAAACATGAGTGTGTACTTATGTACACGGGTTAGAAGTTATACTTCTTTGGCGTAAAAAGATACAAATCTTTTTAAAATTTTATCTTTCGCCTTATTCTACGTTTGTAGAAAAAACGACACTAACAATAGGAAAAAGGTATTTAATATATACAATACAAAAAAAATATTCTACATAATTAATGGACCTTTTTTATTTTAAAATATTGACTATGCTAACTTCAGGGTGTCGGTTTTTTGTGACGGTGTGCGTGCGCGTAGCAAGTATTTTTCCCTAACGCGCTAAAAGAAATACGACTTCAAAACTTGTCATGTGTTATTTTTTATTAGGTTGAAAGGTAATGAAATCATTATAAAAAGACGGTGGATTTTTTCGCACTCATTATGGATAAAAAACTTAGTTGCATTTTCTATTTATATGTTTATTTAAATGGTAGCCATTACCCTATAATGCCAGATATAGTCTATAATGTTTAAAGTATATTCATATTATGTACATGTACAGTACAACTCTTTCTATAACGAATTTCAAGGGACCGGACATTTTTTTCGTTATAGAGAATTTTCGTTATAGGGAAGTGCAAAGAAACCAAAAGTAACCAATTTCAATAATTTTTTATCTTATTACTATCAATAGGTAAATTATTTTAAACACATATACATATTCTGTTAACTATGCCTGACGTATTACACGATATAGGTGACGATGGTGCGTTTACTAACTGAGATCAAAATTTCCTACAGACAATGCAATCTAAGAATATTGCCACACGTGTCAATGAAATTAACAATAACAAAGGCGAGACGGCTGTTTATGACCTCAGGTGTCTCTTCTTAGAAATTTCGGCACCTCAAAAGTTTAGTTTTGTAAGCTGATTATAAAAACAATTACACTTAAGTATGTTGTTGATGTCTAAATATGAAAATATTTCTTCGTTATAGAGAATGGATGTTGCGTTATAAAGAGGTTTGTGTAAAACCTAACAAAACAATGTAACTGATTTAACGTCACAGAGAGTTTTCTGTTATAATAAAGAGTATACTTCCTTAATAAATAAATGAAGTAACATGAAATTTCAGATCGGTGATCCACTATTAGCCACGGTGGTTACGAAGTTGTCGTGTGAGTCTGTTCGTGTGGATCTACAAAACACATTAACGAATGAAAAACTCGGACTTGCTACTATAAGCAGATGGTCGCCGGCTATCGAACTCCCTATACAATCTGGCAATCGTAAGTAATTTTTCTTAAGCTTAAACGGTATAATGGTGAGTTCGACTCCCTGTAAAACAATTGCCTTAGAAAACTCGTAACTCTGCTATTTCTAGTCAAAAATCATTTAATCATATATAGGTAACTCAATGTACACGTATGAACGTCAAAAAAGATATGTTTATGAAATGCTTCTAACTTTACATTTAGTGCCAGTTCTCAAATCAAGGGCGTAGAACGGGAGAGAAGAACTGGCTATAAACTCTCTGCCACTCTTTTTAATTGCCATTGTCTTTTTACACAACGTTTGTAAGGAGTTGCAACCATTACACCATGTTCCACTAAACCATGTGTAAATTAGCTAATAAAGTTTCCCCTGAAATTGACTTATTCACTAAATATTTAAATTTTTTATCTTTTATATTTCTCTTTTTATTAATTACATTCATGCTTTGTTAGAGTAAGAGAGTAGTTGTTAGAGTTTGAGAGAGCCAAGGCTGTACATTTTGCTCACTCAGGCTTTCTTAGTTTTATAAGCGTAGCGATTCCAAAGTCCCGGGGCATAACCTGAAAGTATAGACCAGTGGCGTAACAATAGGGTGGCAGGGTTGGCATAATGCCACGGGCACCCGACCCAAGAGGACCCCTGCCCAAGAGATATTATGTTCTATGGATAAATGTGAAGTCTCCAATACGCATTGGGCTAGCGTGGGGACTAAAGACCATTCCCTCTCGCCTAAGAGAGGAGGCCTTTGGCCATTAGTGGGTCATAAACAAAGTGTAATTGAGTACGTTGAAAATATCGAAGTTTATTAAAATTAAACTGAGCACAACGTGAGCATTTTTACGGATAGGGCCCCATCAAAAGAATTTGCCACGGGCCCTGTATGGTATAGTTACGCTACTGAGCCAGACGTAGGCACTCTCTTTGACTGTTACATTACATTCATTTGTTACATAGCAATTAACGTTTGATTATTTCGCTTATATTCTATGGCTGTACGTGAGTGCTTAATAAACTAAAATCCTCTATTATTTAAAGCACCCCGATGACCCAGGAACCGTACAATTAGAATTACCTTATTTATTAAAAAGAACTATGTTTGCCTCTTAAAGGGAGTGCAATTAGTTTTTAATAAATAACCAAATTAACCAATTTCAAAACTCGTGAACCTTGCCTGCTCGTTTCCCTGCTGTCCCATAAAAGAAAATAACAATAACTTACCTTAGTTAGGTGTGTAATAACAAAATTAACACGCATAATATATCAAAATATTTATTATTATATAAATTTTACAGCCATCCCACAAGTACCAAGACCGTCGATAAAGAACAACTCTAAAGTGATACTCGTAGAAGCTTCGAAGCTTGATGCCGTATACGTTCGCTCAGCCGATAGCAACGCGGCCCGGCAGTTCAATGGTGTGTTACAGGACGCGATACTTTGTGCACAGAAAGGCAAGTTAAAAAATTAACTATTCATCTCTCTTCATCACAGCGTAAATACATTTGATAGAAAGAGACAAATTTAATGTTAAGTTCGTTTAAAGAGCGTTCAAGTATTACGTCACGCAATTTTTGGATTATTAACTTGTCACAAAATAATACTATTATTTCTTTCAGGTACACCCCTAAAGGAGCCCCCAGCTAGAGGCCAAGTGGTGATCGCGAAATATAAAGACGGAATCTTCTCCCGAGCGCTCGTTCAACGAATTAACGCTTTAAGGACAAAATATCTGCTTGAATATATCGAATTTGGTAAGTTTTTACTTTTAAGAAGATGAATTGCCTCTGAAAATGCTGACAGTAATCTAACAGATTTTTTTTTCTGCTTAACAAAAATTTCTGGTATTCTTTTTTTATCTTGTATATATTTTAATTGTATTTTTTAATATTTTTGAATTTATAATTCCTTAGGCGCGTTATGAAAAATTGATGAGAGTGAAATTTTACGATTCGCGCGCACCGTGACACAAAATTAACAGAATGAAGTTGCCCACTAATTGAAGTTATACTTCTTTAGGCGCGTTATCAAAAATTGATGAGAGTGAAATTTTACGATGCGCGCGCACCGTGATACAAAATTAACAGAATGAAGTTGCCCACTAATTGAAGTTATACTTCTTTAGGCGCGTTATCAAAAATTGATGCGAGTGAAATTTTACGATGCGCGCGCACCGTGATACAAAATTAACAGAATGAAGTTGCCCACTAATTGAAGTTATACTTCTTTAGGCGCGTTATCAAAAATTGATGAGAGTGAAATTTTACGATGCGCGCGCACCGTGACACAAAATTAACAGAATAAAGTTGCCAACCAACCAACAAAACAGAAATGGAACCTCTGTTAGTGGCGCATGTTGGCACGCACGCCGCCTCTGTTTATTGTGTATTTATATTTATAATATTTATCCACATGCTTTGAGTTTCTACATTTAAAACACGTGTTTTCATTGAACGAGCGTTCAAGAGATTATTGTCCCCCCATGTAACTCGCCATAACGTTTTTCTGTATCCAAGTACAATTCAATTCAAAAATTCAAAAATCATTTAATCATATGGGTAAGTAAGGGTAGTAAAGAAAAACATATCAATGCTTCTAATTTTACATTTAGTGCCAGTTCTCAAAGTACAGTACTGTACCCAAGTAAAAACGTTTCGTGACCACTTAGTGACTCTTTATACCTAAAAGTTACCATTATGTGGTGTAAAGTACTGGAAATTCGAATAAAATATTAACAATTCAATCCCCGCTCCGCATCGTAACGTTTTACAAAAGGAAAACATTCGTTACGTAATACTTAAACGCTCCTTTAACTAAATTATCATACATTTTAGTTAAGAGTTTGTAACATATACGGTAGATTAAGCACTATGTATGATTGCTAAATTTTAATAAATAAAAGTCAAAGTCAAATCATTTATTTCAATTAGACCATCTAAAATGGCACTTTTGAACGTCAAAAAAAATACAAAAAAGATTGTAGTTGCCCCTTCCAAAAGGTAGTTTCGTGTGGAGAAGAATGGGCAAGAAACTCCACACTTACTCTTTTTAATAAATGAATTAACAAACATTTTTATGAATTTTAACATTCAAGTAACGTGATTTTTAGGTTATGTGGAACCACAAACACTAGAAACACTCTACCCGTGTCCAGACAAGCTGAGCCTTGAGAATCAGCCCACAGTTGTATCCTGTGTTAAGGTGAGCACAGAATACCCGGATATCACTGAACCTGCCAAGGCATATATCAACAAAGTACGGGATCAAGAATTAGAATTGATTTTGGTAAGTAATTTGCTGTTGTCTGATAATTAATTTAATTAAGATATTTCGATTTTAAGTTTAAAATATAGTTAAGCCTATCATAATTTATTTTATTATTAATTTAAAGTGTAAACTCTTTATAACGTCATTCGTTAAAACGCAAAACTTCATATAACGCAAAATAGTCTCAGTTACTAAACGCACCACCGTCACCTATCGTGTATTATCAGTCGTAAACAAACTTTGAAACTGTTAAGATGGCCGGTAAGAAAAAAGGGTGCGTGTACTTATGTAAGAAGTTATACTTCTTTGTCATTATTAAAAATAGTTTTTGATTGCATGCAAATAATTAAAGAGTGGAAAAGGAGTCATTATAGTCAATAAAGTTCAGTTTACATTTGAAAAATTAAATAAATAAATATTTATTATTATTCTCTTACATTAAGTGTAACATAAATTCTATTATTATTCGAAAGTTGTTTTTAAATTATGTCCAATGCCGTAGCATCTTCCGTGGGCAACTTCATTCTGTTAATTTTGTGTCACGGTGCGCGCGCATCGTACAATTTCACTCTCATAAATTTTTCATAACACGCCTAAAGTAGTATAACTTCAAAAAGCAGTGTGTTTAGAATAATTTACCTATTGATAGTAATACAATTAGAAATTATTGTAATTGATTAAATTTGTTTTATTCTCTCAAAATTGAAATACGTTATACAGAGTTTATACTGTATTCAATAATTAAAATTTTATGCAATAAATTGGTTTTTAGAACATTTAAGGACGTTCAGTATATCATCAGAAATAATAATGTAGGCGCAGTTAACACTCGTTTTTACGGTGAAAGAAAACATAAGCAAAAAAGTGCCATAGACCCAAAAAGGACGTTTGTTAGGCGCAGAAGGCTGATCGCGATCACCTGCTTGCCTATTATCACAAAACAGATACAGAAATCTGAGACCCATACCTTAAATGGGTGTAGCGCTTCTGTTTTATTTATTCGCCTACATAGATAATATATAAAACATTCAAAGTATATTTTTTTAAAGACAATTCACACCAATTGACCTAGTCCCATGCTAAGCTGGTGAAGCTTGTGTTATGGGTACTAGGCAACGGATATACATACATATTATAGATAGATAGATATATAAATACATATTTAAACACCCAAGACCTAAGCACAACACCAAATGCTCATGACATCGATGTTTGTCTCAGCCGGGGATTGAACCCGGGACCCATGGATTCGCAGTCAGGGGTTCTAACCACTAGACCAATGAGTCGTCGTATGAAAGTAAATTGATAATTATTATTATTGATAGTTATTTTTTTGCCGCTCGTTTGTCCGCGTTGAGATATTATTATTATTCCAGTTAAATGACATAAAATTTAAAGAAATACTATGGAGCAAGGGGTAACAAAACTTGCAAATCTTTCACCACATTGGATAAGTTTAAATTCTTGACATAAGCACAAATAAATCAGTGTTCGTTAAATATTTCAGACATTAACTGATGCCCAAACGGCTCCAAGTGGCAGTGAAGTCAGCTTGACCTTGGAGAAGAATAAAGAGAACTTCAATCGACAAGTCGTAGAAATGTGTAAACCGGGCTGGAAGTTGATGGAACAGAAGGGGACTGATGTCGTTGGTATGATTTATTTAATACATTCCTTTTTCACAAACGACACGTAAGTGATTTTATATGAATGAGATGAGTAGAAAATAGTGAAACACGCATTTTAAAATTGTCTTAAAGTCTGTCTTTAATGCTGAAACGTAATAGTAGTTTATGCAACTGTCATATAATAAAGGGTATTAAAACATATAATAAAGGGTATTAAAACATATAATAAAGGGTATTAAAACATATAATAAAGGGTATTAAAACATATAATAAAGGGTATTAAAACATATAATAAAGGGTATTAAAACATATAATAAAGGGTATTAAAACATATAATAAAGGGTATTAAAACATATAATAAAGGGTATTAAAACATATAATAAAGGGTATTAAAACATATAATTAAGGGTATTAAAACATATAATAAAGGGTATTAAAACATATAATAAAGGGTATTAAAACATATAATAAAGGGTATTAAAACATATAATAAAGGGTATTAAAACATATAATAAAGGGTATTAAAACATATAATAAAGGGTATTAAAACATAAGTGTAGTTAGTTCAAAATAAGATTACACGAGTGTTTTAATACCTAATTATATGCAGTTGCATACACTACTTGATTTAATCTCATGGCTATAGGTTTCCAAGTCATAAAGTCTTGGTAACATTTGTGGTACGCTTTTCTTGATTTTTCTGGCAAAAGACTATTCGTCAGTTTCTAGAATGTCGGGTGGAGTTAAATTTTCATCGGTATCGTCGGTGTTGCTTGACATTTTTGCTATTAAAGTTTTATCCAGCAAAATATTACTCAAATTCGTATGTACGAAATAGCTCCAAAATGGAAAAAATCTGTTATTGGTCTATTGGCTCGGAACCAGCTTGCTCACCACAGATTGTGTACTTAAATTGAATTGAAACCTACTTGGTCGGGACACATTGGACTTTAATAATTAAAAAATATTTTTAATTATTAAATAATTAAAAATATTTTTATATAATAAATAAAAATATTTTTTTATAAAAAATATTTTTTTATAAAAAATAAAAATTTTATGATTTTTTATAATTAAAAAAATTAAAAATAATTATTCTCCTAACAAAACAATGCTTTAATTTAATTTTCTTAAAGAAGTATGTACATAAATATGCCAATAAAAGTCTGTATTTCATTTCATAATTAGAATATTACCGAATGAGATTATATTAAGTATTTTTTTATGCAACAGTAGTTTAATTATAAAATTGTAAGTGTTATGTAGAATTTATTACGTCAAGCACCTAAAATCATTTTTAAATGGACTACCCACGACGCAGGGAATCCTTTTTATTATGTGTGTATTCTTTCTTCTAAACTATAATGAATTTTTTACATTTCGAAATGTTGTTTTCATTTTGTTATTTCTATGGACAAAGTTTAAAACTGATTTGGAATTTGGTGTTACTGAAAGCAAAGGCAATGTCAATTTTCTTTTAGGCAAACGACCTTAGTCTTTTGTTCCTAATACATACATTTTTAAATCTCAGAAAGTTGAAATTTAATATGATTATGTATGTCAAAAAAGTATTGCATCTGACATACAAGTCACGTAGGGAGATTCAAAAAAGACAGTTACCGCAAACGTTGATTTCCGTATGACAAAATCCCATATGATTTGACCCATTAAAGAATTCCAATTGTTTCCAGAACTAGCACCAATACTGTACTACGAGATGGACTTCGTGAGTGTTCCGTCGTCTGGTTGCGAATTCATAGTACTCGACATCGGCACACTCTTCGGCGGCCTGCTTAGCGGATATCCGTCTGACTCGCCACGAGCATCCTATATCTTGGATAATTTACCCGATTTGGTCAGTAAAAATAAGTTTGAACATTCATTTCTTTACATTTTTCTAGAAGGTTTTAGTAGGTTCCTCTACTGTATAAACTCTTCTCAATAAACTAAAGTACATAAATTCGTAAATTTTAAGAATTTTTTAAATTACTTTCCGATAAACATTTGTTAAATATGATAATAGCTTCACCAGCTTAGCATGGGACTCGGTCAATTGGTGTGAATTGTCTTTAAAAAAAAAATAGTGTTTAAATATTTATCGATAAACTTAATTCAGCATTGTTCAAACCTTTTCTATTTTATGAAAAAATGTTTTATTCTTAAATTATATTTGTTGTATATTATAATTATCGGTGATAATAGGTGATTTAATTACTAAATAGATGATAATGAAACAAAGTATTTTTTAGAGTAATTTGTATAAAACATAACTTCAAAAGGTTTTATGGAATAAAATAACTTGTAAATGATTATTAAATTATGAAAGGATCTATTATTTTAAATTTATTGATAACAAAATATTCTCTTGGAGTACTTTCTTGTCGGTGAATCGATGAAAGGAATATAAATGTGTGTATTAATAATGAACTCGCAAAAACTTGAAATTTAGCCAATATCTTGCTTATGTACAGAAATGTCAACTGTCACATGTCATTTGAATTTTTAAATATTCTTAACAGAATTAAAAGTAACAATATGGTTTGGGTTCTATAGTTACTTATAAACAATTTTAAACTGTTTTTAAAATCTTGTCTTTAAAATAGCATATAATAAATCCGTTTCCAGATGGCAGCATATTGTAACAGTGATTTGGGCCGGGATCCATATTTACCTCTTACCAACGAAGTCTGCATCGCGCAGTTGCCTCCACGTGAGTATTTTGGCTTAGTATCTTAGAGAAGCAGGAGAAAACTGTAGAGTGAATTGATTATATATCTTATTTATTCTTCGTTATTATTTGTCTCATGAAATTGGTGTAATTTTTACTACTTTTGTAACATAGGGAATTTTTATTTATTTTATTTATAACAATAATTATTATTAAATACATTTAACTAAGGGAGAGTTCAAGTATTACGTCACGCAATTTTGGAGATTATTAACCCATTGTCACATTGGGGGGCCCCCCAATGTGACGCGCCGTAACGTTTTTCTGTAACGAATAGTAAAACGTTTCGTGACCACCCAGTGACTTTTTATACCTAAAAGTTACCATTATGTGCTGGAAAGTCGAAAATAATATTAACAATAACGCGTAATTCAATCCCCGCCCCGCATCATAACCCTCCCAAAATTCGTTACGTAATACTTGAACGCTTCCTAATACCTAAGTTGGCTGTGTTGTGTGTTGGTGTGTGGGGTTGTGTGGGTTAATACTCTCTTCTGTCAGTCTGCCATCTGACAAAGTTCTAGTACTGGTGACTTTATTTTCAGATGAAGAATGGTTCCGTGCGGTGATGCTGGAACAGGAAAATGGCGCTGGTGGGACCGAAGCGAAGGTGGCCTACATCGACTATGGGAATATCGCCACGGTGCCCGTCAGCGTGTTGAGGAAAATGGTGCCGGAGTTTATCAAGGATATACCCGGGTTGGCTTCGACTGTGCAGATAAGAGGTGAGAAAAACTAATTTTAATTAAATAAAATCTCTGATGTAAGATTACTTTGAAAGTAAGAGTGAAAGTGTGATTAGAGAAATATTAATTTGTAAACTGTAAATTGTGTTATTGGACACTTTTTGAAGTGAAACTTCTTTATCCAGGTTGGAAAAAAATTTAGTGTAACATTTTTTCGTTACGCGTCACATTTTTCGGTTACGCGCCATGTTGCTTTTTGAAGTCAAACTTCTTTATCGGCGTTGGAATGAAACTTCTTTATCGACGTATGGGAGAAATTTTGTAGCAAATCGTCACGCTTTTCAATGATAGTAATAATTATATTACAAATAATGAAATTCTATAATAATCTTCGTAGTAATAAGGTAAAATGAAATATTTGTATTCGTGTCTATGATAATAAAAGCCTTTTGTTAAACTTTATCTAATTTAACGAATTTCTGCAAAGTTGCATATAGTAGATCATTTTTCGAAAAATAAGATGATAAAGAAGTTTCACTTCTTACGTGTGTACACCTAGTACACGCACAATTTATTATTTTTATTATTTTTGGTAAATTAGATTAGTTTTAAATTACCTTTTAGTCTTAAGTTATGCTAGATTATGTTCCATTATGTCTCAGTGAAGAGTTATATATTATAAGAGAAATAATATAAGAAAAGTGCGAGTGTTAAGTGAATTAATTTTGAGAAAAATAGTGTTAAAATAAATTTTTAGAGAAATATTATTAAGTGTATGATTTTTCTATTATTATTTTAAGAAAACTGAAAATGTATTCATTTTAATAAGAGTTAATATTATAGTTATCAATGTAAATATCCCTGAGGTCGTAGGTTCGAATCCCGGCTGTGTGCTAATAGATTTTCTGTCTATGTGAACACTTAACACTCCCTTATAAAGTGAAGGAAAACAAAATCAAAAGTCTGTCTTAGACCCAAAGAGAACGGCGTGTATCAGGCACAAAAGGCTGATCACCTATTTGCCTATTAGACTAAAAGATCGCGGAACAGATACAGAAATCTGAGACCCAGACCTAAAAGGTTGTAACGCCACTGGTTCCTTTTCCCTGACGGTTAATACAAAATCGTTGCTCCCAAAAATATAATGAAAGAAAAATGTGTGCGTTTTAAACCTATTATGTACCTAATTTGAGCTGTGTTGGCCTAGTGGCTTCAGCGTGCGACTCTCTTACCTGAGGTCGTAGGTTCGATCCCCGGCTGTGCACCAATGGACTTTCTTTCTATGTGCGCATTTAACAATCGCTAGAACGGTGAAGGAAAACATCGTGAGGAAACCGACATGTCTTAGACCCAAAAAGTCGACGGCGTGTGTCAGGCACTGGAGGCTGATCACCTACTTGCCTATTATATTAACAAATGATCATGAAACAGATTCAGAAATCTTAGGCCCAGACCTAAAGAGGTTGTAGCGTCTCTGATTTATTTTTATGTACCTAATTTACAATAATGCTTTTTTCAGATTTCCCAAGTTCCCCAACTGAAGCAATGGTGGAACGCGCATTGGAATACCTACAATTGGACGATTTGGACCGCGGTCGTCTAAAAATTGAAAATTGTACCAAAATCGGAAAGAATACTTACGAAGTTGACGCGCCGGGGCTCATAGCTATGATGAAAGGGAAAATATAATTAAGGTCGGAAAACTTCAGCTAAGATTGAGACTTATGAGTCTGTCATAATTTTTTTTTGTAAGAGTAGTAGTAACATAGAGAAGCTTACTTTAAAATTAGTCTTAAAAATTTCTATCTTATGGGGAAAATCCAAATCTATGTCATGGTCATGGATTTTATAGATTTATTGCTTCTACAGAAAACTATATAAATATGTTTTATGTTTTAAAATCTGAAAACTTGCATTTTTTCCCTAAATTTGTGAAATGCAACACGGTTTATAATACGGTTTTTAGATTTTATTTAAAAAACGTAAGAGTTTTACATTTAGTTTTTATTTTACTATTTAAGTCTGACGGTAAGATTCAAAGTCGATACTTAGCTAACTATGACTGCCAATGTCTAAAGCACCAGTTTTGACATAAGCTATACTCAAACTCAAATAACTTTATTCATATAGGTAAACAAGTACACTTATGAACATCACCAGAAAGGATGTTAAATTGATTCTAAATTTACATTTTCTACCAGTTCGCAAGTTAAGAGAGTAGAACTGGCAAGAAACTCTCCGCCACTCTTTAATCGCCAAGTTTTGAGTCATACAAATTGTTTGAACTGGAGCAAATCAATCCCAAGGATTAGAATCATTTAAATAATCGTCAAATTTATAAAAAGCTTTATTGATCAATTTGCGTTTAACGAGAGTTTTTAATTTATTCAGTGATAATTCTCTAATTGAGAGTTTGTTGTAAAAACGAATACAATTTCCATAAAGGAGTGGTTTATCTTCTGGAGCCTGGTTGGTCGAACGCTTAGATTGGTTCTGTTTCGTTTATTATACTGATGTCACAAATTTTTTATCGTTTATATTAGTTTAACATACAACATGGCTCCAAGAATATCATAATACAGTCAAAACCGTTTATAACGACATCGTTTACAACGACCTATCGGTTATTACAACCAGATTGTATGGTCCCGTCCGAATCCCTAGTAAACTATTCAGTAAACAAACTGCTTATAACAACATCGGATACAGCGACATATCGCTTACAACGACGAAATTTTATCGATATTCATCGGCTATAACGACCAACCGCTTCTTGTCTCAGCAAAACAAAACAATACAAACGATTTTAAATCTTATTTATAAGCATTGAATGAATATTAGGCATATTATTACCTACGCACTTTCTCCCGCCCCATCCGGCCCCACCTCTTCCCGGCCATTTGACCTTGCATACTTTACACATGTTTAGTTCGCTAATTGACAGTTTGATTTTAAAGTGTTGGTGTTGTTTAGACTGTGCAATTGTGCATTTATGTGATATGTGAGAAAAGTGTTTTCTATTGAATAAAAATCTCATGTCATATGGATAAAATGCAAAAAATATTTGAGACTGGGAAAAAAAAAATCAGACCAAAATGACTGATTACTTTTGTACCTAATTATTTCGTAAAAAATATTTTTGTTTCTTTTTTGACTCCTTTACATATAATAATATTAACATACCATATTATAACCCATACCTACCTATTCTAGATAGATAACTATGATAATATAACTATGTACATACATATGTACTGTACTTGTGTATATGACATTGCTTATAACGACTATCGGATATAACGTCGGCAACTATACGGTCCCTTCAATGTCGTTATAAACGGTTTTGACTGTATTTAATTCCTTAAATTTATACCGTACTGGCTACCGTATACGTATCGCTAAATCTCGACTTTACTACCTAAGATCTGTTATCGTTAGTTTAGGCAGTAGTTGTTATATTTAAGTTTTTACCTTTATTTGGGATTTTTTTATTAAGCCATAGGAAGTAAGACTGAAACAGTTTAAACATGAACGAAACGTAAAAGCGAATAGTCGGTAATACAAAAGTAACAATACGTTTTTGTATGGAAATCCTAAGAAACGCTTTGTATATGTGTAGTATTTAGAAAGCTTGATCCATCGAATAGGAAACGTAAACTATTCAAGTTTACGTTAAATACAGTACGTACATAAAATACGTAAACTATTCGATGGCTCGAAATCGATCTTTCGAGATCTTTTCGATAGACAGATCGATGTGTTCGAGTTATACAATTGCATTGACGTATACGCATACTTGACTGGTTTATCTTTTGGTCAAATGTATTACCAAATACGCCGAACGTTCTAGAACTTCATTAATTTATTTATATTTTATGAAGACAAATACTTAAATTATTGTACTGTTCCATTTACATAAAGTACTCTTTTTTCCTCAAATTGTAGTTAGGCTATGGCAAAAAGAGATAGATTTATGAATGTAACTTAGGGAGCGTTCAAGTATTACGTAACGCAATTTTTAAAGATTTTAGAAGCTCTCCCCCCATGTAACGCAACAAAGTAATACCTTTGTTATTGTATTAATTGCGTTTGCAGTTGTAATAAACTAAAGAAAAACTTTTCTGTGTTTTTTAGTTTTTCTTTAGCCGTTTTCCAAATTTCGTTGGCATTTTTTTGGCACAATTGTGCTGGCAAGTTAATATGACAGCTTTTAGATGCCATGAACAGCTGATGATGCAAATCTCCCGCTTTCGAGGACATTACGGTATTTCCTCAATCTTTAACAACACTGACAACAGCAATGTGCTTCTGTGTAAACTCGACTCGAGGGATTCCCCGAAACATAAACTTAGGAAAGCTAAAAGAAAGCAAAAATTAATAAAATTAATCCCCCAGTATTTTTATTAAAATAAAGAAATTTACGTAACGCGTTGTTTTAATAACCCCCCTCCCGCCCATGTAACGCGCTGTAACGTTTCAAAAGACTCCCCCCTCCCCCCAAATTGCGTTACGTAATACTTGAACGCTCCCTTATTGAATTATATACATATTCATAATCTGTCTTGAGCGCCATACAGAAAAAATGCTTTGACAGCGCCTGAAATTAGATTCAAGTTTGATTGATGAACTAGATTACGGCCTTAAGAGCGGTATCAAATTATGTCTGAATTAAAATTGGACGAAACTAAAAACTACTATTTTTGATCACGTTTAAAAGGAAGTTTAGTGTCAAATCAAACTTCATTTCTCTTTGAAATATGGTGAAGGTGTCAAACAGAAAGCTTTTAAATATAAAACAGACACAAAAAAAATTCTGTAGAATTAAACGAGACGCGCGGATTGATTTTTGTCTGCTAAAGACGGAATCTCTAGACACCATTGTCTATATTAATATATAGCAATATTGTTTTAATTTAATGCAAATTAAAGTAATGTTGTATCAATCTTGCTTTGCAGGACACTGCACTTTTCCATATATTTTAACGTCACTGTTTTAGTGACATTTTTTCTACATTTTTCCTTGTCTTTTCCTGTTACCATGACAACTATTTTTTACCCCCGACACGAGGGAAGTTTCACGTTTGTCCATGGCAATTTAGTTCCTAAATGGAGTGATTAGAAGGGGTTTGAAATTTCTAATTTTCATAAAGGGTTTTTGTGGTCTGAGTGTGTTCATGACAGGTAGCAATTGAATTACTGTTTTTTTTATTGGAATGGAATCTCGCTGTTGGTATGAAGGGCCTTGCTCAGATCGGGCTGTTTAGGCGAGCGTGGCCGGAATGGGACGAGGGCCTACCATGAGCTCTTATTGCGAGCCTATTCACAACCTACAACTGAGATACAACACTTCAGACCATTACTTTGTAAAACTAGACAGTTTATTTTCCCACGCGACCTTAGCCTCATTCAATTTTTATGAAAATTTGTACCATGACCTCACTTGGCTGAACCGAAATATGACCGTTGCGCCTTAAAACTTTGACAGAATAAGCAATTAAAAAAAAAATTTTAACCGGATTAAAGTTATGTATTATACAGTAGAGCCTTGATAATCCGAACTAGCAAAAACTACCCCTGTTCTTAAGTAATACCCCTTACATAGTATAATGTATAAGTTAGCCATGTTAGTTAGAACATATAGATGCATGCTTGCGATAGTGTCAAAGAGGTGTGAAACCATTGATATTTGGCTTATTTCAAATAAATACATATTTAATTATTCTATTATTTTATTATTCGCTCATAAAAATAATTTAAACTACATATAACGGCATAGTATTACTAATCGACGTTTGTCTCTTTGAAATTGCGTTGAAACCATACTTATTGGTGTTCTTTTATACGGTTTACTTAGTCTGATATGAAGTTAGTCTCCCCACGAAAAGCACTAGAATCTCTGAGTTATGTAAACAATCCCATACATTCTCATTTATCAGTTACAGAAGTTTTAAAAGTGTAGTTAAGCCAAGACTATATACTTAGGTTTTATGAATAACAGGCTGTAAAATTCACAAGAGTTCAACCAGCATCAGAAGGAAGAAATGAAAAGATGATTTTAGGTTGAGTTCCACTGACTTTGACTGTGTTGACTGTGACCGATGTGAATGCTAGCCGCTCTCGAACTTTCGAAGCTTTAAGTAGGTTTGTAAAGAAAATGCTAACCAAGAATAGTGTTTCAACACACTTCTCACTGACAAACTAGGTACTCGTTAATATAAAGGAGCTTCACGAAGTTGCAGTGTCAGGAATGCACGCTTACTCTATTTGAGGAACACTTCTTACAAAGAGTTAATTAAACAAAAAAAGGGTATTAAGGATTATAGTATGTAAGGAGAAAAAAAAACATTTTTATTCTTAAAATAGTGTTTAATTACATATATACATAGTTTAAGAGGTAAAGTAAGCAACGAGCTGAGCTTTACATATTGACCTTGGGAACGCTCTTATTACAAGCAGCGTAAGGACTACAGTCGTAATGCAAATAAAAAGCCCGGCTCGTTGCTTACCGTACATTTACATAATAATTAGGTACCATAAAATACGTAAGGTGTAAATTGTCTATTTAGTCATAAACTGATCTATTTTAGTTTGGCGAGTCCTGTTGATGGACCAGAAAAAGCTTTGTCCCTCAAGTTACGTAGCATCATCTTTTCCGATAAGGACAGGTCATTTTCTTCAGCCCACTCCAA